AGTATTTGCAGTATATTTGTTTGTGCACGCTTTTCTATCTAATGCAAAAAAAAATATTTGGGAATACTAACAGACATTTAAGTGAGGTTTCATCTTTCTTTTTTGCACCAAGTCTGTAGAATTTTAGGGGCAATTGGAGTGTAAGAGTCCAGCAAGTGTATATATAGAATTTCCTGTTTGTGTGTTGCATTGTGGTTTTTAATCGTTAGAGTATGTTTAGAATAAGATAATAATTGGTGAGGCCAGTACATAGTTTGTCCACCAGGTTTAATTTTCAACTGTAAAATGTCCCACTCCTATATACATATTACTATACTGGTCACAATTCTTAAAAAAAACAAACATATGGTGAAGTTGTTGTTGTTATCTGGGTATTTAAAAAAAAAAACTCAAATAGTTGTATTGGTATCGATATAGAAAAATCCATTATCAGTCAGCCATCACTCTTCATGCAGAGTCTGAAGTCAGGCTGGTATTGTGGACTGACTATTTGTGACGTTTTGTGAAGGTTCTGCAGTGGAAAGGGGGCCGCTAGTTTTGTTGGGTAACTACACAGATTCCTCAAAACAAGCCAAGAACAATGCTGCCTTTATTCAAACTTTTATTGTGAAGAAATCTTAAATAATTCAGACAAACAAATTCTAATGTAAAAGTCCAGTTTATATTTTCATGTTTATAAAGGGCGCTGTGAAGGTGTCTTGTAAACAAACAAGAGTTATGTTTACTGTCAGTGTTACTAAACAAACACAACCTGTGTTTCCTTGAGGTGACACAAACGCATCGATTGCATTCCCCTCCTTTGTTTAAATCCGCGTTTACTAGCTTGCAGACTTCCTCTTCTGAGTCATTATTGGTGCACTGTAGCATATCTTGCTTTGTTATTGCTACCTGTTGATCAGTGTCATCAACAGGTGTGACACCATATGTAGGACTGTTTCCTTGTGCGTGTGCAAGAAACAAAACAGGGAAACTCATAGAAATAGAGCTCCATGGCACTACTAACAATCAAAAACTCCACATGGAACCTTAATGCTTTTTAGTTTTTACATTGGCAGACAATTTTCTACTTGTCTGTTTCACACTCAGTTATGGCAGCGTTCTACTTTGGCACTGAAAACTTTTGATTTTTTATTTTGTCAGTAATCACCTTTTCAAACATGGAAAAATAAGGTTTTATGAACACAAATGAAATCTAAATGTGATCAAATTATTTCATTTAAATACTTGAACATCCAAGTATTATGGGTGCAAATGTACTGTGTCCTCATTCAGTCCTTCTTTACAATGCCTCACCAATGACCTTTACATATATAGCTGATTATTTGCACAAGTCAAATAATGTGTACAGAGTGAAAATGTACATTTGCTGCCTGCATGTAAGACTAGGAAAGAGAAACCTCCACTATATCCAGCCCCCTTTTTCTTTGTGTCTAGATGTCTATAGAATCTGAGATGAGCGACCAAAGGTTTCGTTTCTTACTACAATCAGGGGTTTGGCACCTTTTTCCTACTTTGTCATTTCTGTCTTGTGCAGCATGCGTCACCCAAATGCATGATCATGCAACCATGTTGTTTTGTACAACAAAATGTCTTTTGATAAAACTCAGCGAATGACCGATGTCATTGTTACTGTCCTCCCACCTTTTTTTTCCACTTCTTGTCATTGTCCTTCCTTCATCCCTCCGTCTCTCTCTTTCTATGCAGCATTCCAACCCAGGCCATGCAGGCCCTTTCCCGGTGGCATCTCTTCATAATGCCAACCCCACAAGTCCTACCAGTGCAAGTATGGCGGGTGCCCATGCTCACCGCGGCCCTGCCAGCCCCATCATAGGTCCCATCGAGCTCATCCCCTCGGTCACCAATCCTGAGAACCTGCCCTGCCTACCTGAGATCCCGCCCATTCAGGTGCGCACCTTCTAACCATGTATTGGATGTTTGGGTCGGATTTGTAACTTTTTTTTCTTCTTTTTTTTTAAGGACCTGCTACTTTTTCAGACTTAGACGTTTGAACTGTAAAATATCGAACATTGCTCTCAATTAAAGAAACAAAAAAAATCTAATGTCAATTGAAATTATCCCATAATTAACATTACAATAAACATTTGAACATTTTTAGAGTTTACAATAATGAGTAAAAATATGTAAAATATAGATGAACCCAAATAGGCAAATATATGAATTTATATATTCATACCATTGGCTGGGAAATGTGTGGAGAAGCACAACTACAAAGTCTGATGTGGTGAATAAGTAAACAGATTTGACACAGGCCAACATTTTCCAATATTTTCCCTGGTTGAGGGTCAAGTTGACATTAAATATATTCATTTACAACAATCCGTTGACCTTTTGAGTAACTTGATTCTCTGTCTGCTTTCCTAGCTGGAGGATGCAGGTTCCAGCAACCTCGGACACCTCCTGTCTCGCTACATCACAGCCAGCACGCAGCATCACCTTGGTTCAATGGACATGAACCCCTCACCTGGACTGTCCACACACTCCCCTGGATCTTCAGGTACCCACATATTCAGGGAGAGGGACTCCCATTCACATCTGACCAAACTTCCTGTTTTATTTTTTATTTTATTTTTTCATTCTTCATTTTCTGTTGATCTAATCACATTCATGATAACATCAGAGACCTTAAGGATTCTGTGATAAGGATGTAATCCACAAAGAGCAGCCATTGGCTCTAACTGTAATGAAATTTCATGTAAGAAATGAAATTAAACTTTCATGTTCTTGTACAATCAGTAGTGATCACTGCTGCGTCATCTTCACCATTGTCTCCTCTCTTATTTCTGTCTGCAGGTTTGTCGAATGCCCACACACCAGCACGACCTTCTAGCACGTCCAGCACAGGCAGCAGGGGCAGGTAAGAAGATGTGAAGTTATTATAGTATCAAAACACCCTGTCAAAATTCCCAGAAAATACATACAGGCCAGAGTCCAAGTACGCCGATTCAATGAATTACATACCTGCAAACATGTCACTTTTCGGCGAAATTCGCCGTTTTGAATCTAAATATATCATCCACGTGAATCATGTAGATCTGTAGAGATTTTTGGGGGGGGGGGTCAACTGGCCAGCCAGCGTTTCTCAGATTGGAGTGAGACGAGGGGAAAAGGTGATGTCGTGATCTTCGCAATAGAACATCTTTGATGTGTCGAGACTTGGCCAATCAGCGTTAAGATGTCTACAGCGTCTTCATTTCCCTCCGTTAAAGTTTAAATTGCGTTCTGTACCGTTACAGTTCAGACTTAGTGTGTTAAGGATAACGTACACTGCATGCAAAACTTTGTCGACTGAAAAAAAAGTAAGGTGAATCATCAGAAAGCCTGCAAGCAATAACTTGCACAGTAGGATGTATTGAGAGTGTTCCGTTTCTGACGTGGGCATTCGTGATTAACAGATTCTGAAAGGCAGCCTCCCGGTGAGAAGTGCAGCTCTGGCTGTCGTTACAGCTATAGAAATGATTGTATTATAATAATATATTATTATAAGCTTTTTCCAAATGGTTTTAGTCACGTGTGCTCTATTTGCAACAATGCTACATACAGAAAAGGATATCATTATTTGACCCCTTGCCGATTTTGTAAGTGCCCACTAACAAAGAAGCCTAGCACGACTCCGGACCTTAATCCCATAGAAAATCTGTGGAGGGAACTGCGAATTCGAGTTGCTAAGTAACCCCCACGTGTTCAGTGCACGCAGTCACTCATTAACGTTAAACCAGAACACAGTTGGATCTGGTTGCAGGTTCTTTTTTTTAACTCAAAGTAGAATGAGGCGATTTCGTGGTGATAACTTTTATGAACACGAAAAATGAGGCCCGGATACTGATGAGATGATGTGGTCAAAGAGCTTAAGGAAGAGGAGGGCCCGTGTACGTTTTGATAGTCTGTTTTACCGTTCAGTCGAAAATCCGAAAATATTTTCGACTGAACGGTAAAACAGACTATCAAAACGTACACGGACCAGAGAGAGTGTTAAGGTGCCTGTACCTTCATTTCAGCAGGTTGCTAATGCAGAGGTGTGTATAGATTACAGCTACTATTTTACTCTTGATAAACTACCTCAGCCAGAGTAGATTATCATTTTAAGTTAAATAATTGAACTGGATTGAATGCATATTAATTGCAAATAGAAGATAGGCCACAATTCTAACAGCTTTACAGTAACAGTGGAAGTTAATATGAAGCCGTACAGTAACAGGGTTCAATGAAAACGAATCACTTTATTTTGTACAGGCGATGGTTTAGAAATCTTCCCTTTAGAAAATAAGTTTTAGTTGCCTAACTTTATATACGATCTCAAACACCAAAGGGCCAAATGACAAAAGCACACTGTATGTTAGTCCCGCGCTTGTCGTAGTCGTTAATGAGTTTTAAACGGTTGCGTTAATTATTTCTGCATGGTTTGTTTTTGTGTGTGTTTAAGCTGTAGCTCTGCTGGGAGGGCGGGGCCAGGAGGCGGAGCTCTGGTGGAGCAGGTGAGGGTGAAGCAAGAACCTGGTACAGAAGACAGCTACAGCTGTCCGGCTTCTTCTCTGAAGACGGAGCGGGGCAAAGATTCCGGGAGGAGTGCCTGCATGGTATGAATACTTCGTCCATTAGTTTTAAAATGTGCGATAAAAGTACTTTCAACAAGTATAAATTCAACTAAATACGCTTATATTGTCAACAAAAATGTTTGGTTATTTATCATCTTACCCAAAACCGACAAATGTCCGTGGTAAAATATGCTAAAGATGTTTATGCCTGATAACTGTTTACATTGGCTAAATGAGCCAGAACCAGAGGATCCTTCTAACAACATAAAATGTGGTAAATGAAATATGAAAAGTGAGGAAATAAACTTAGCTCCATGTCATATGTTTTGTGACATCACTTCTGGGGCGACATACTTACAGACAGTATTGTAAGATATATGTGAGTATAAGACCAGGAGATTATTATCTTGTCTTAAAACCATCTAATGTATTTGTGTGTTTTTTTTACTCAGATGAGCAGTCCGGAGGACAGCCCCCTTCCTGTATTGGCAGTTGTATCTGCCGGCCAAGATGCTCTCAAGGCTTTAGGGGAGCGCATCAAAACAGAACCCCAATCTGAAACATCTTGTTCTGGACAAAATGGCTCCAGTGCCGCCACCTCCTCTTCTTCAAATTTCACTATGACCTCCACTACCTCATCCTCCGAGAACAACAACAGCAGCAGCAGCAGCAGCACGGCAGGCGCTCTCCTCACTAATGGAAACTCCAACAAGGGAACGAGCACCAAAGGGGACAGCGCGTTGGCCGGAACAGGCAGTTCTGGTGGGAAAGAGGACGACCCGAACGAAGACTGGTGTGCTGTTTGTATCAACGGTGGTGACCTGCTCTGCTGTGACCGCTGCCCCAAAGTGTTCCACATGAAATGCCATGTGCCCACCATAAAAATCTTCCCAACGTAAGTGATCAGTCTAGGTCGTTTCTTTTAGTGGTGCATTTTTAAAACGATTTAACTGCTGTTGCACACTGCCACAACGTTCACACTGAATATTTTGGTTATGTTGTGGAAACACTGTGAACATCACTGAAAGTGGGAAAGTCCTGGAACATTATTTCTAAAACCCTGTATGCAGAATGGATGAGATGCAACAGTAAAACAGACATTGACAAAGTTGATACCCGATCTGTAGAAACAAACTCATTCTTGTAGAGTCGTCAGTCTAAACGTAATATCTTAGCTCATCACCGCAACGTTTGGCTTTAGCTGCAGTTAATTGACCATGCAGATCATGAAAGTTAATGTTAACCCAATGTGTGACTTTTGTGTCTCAGGGGTGACTTTCTTTGCACGTTTTGCCGGAGTGTGACCACCCCCGAGATAGAGTACTGTGACGACAGCAAGAAAGTGATAGGAGAGCAGGACCTGAGACCAGATGATCAAAGGGTCAGTACAGCCACCACAACCTTCACAGGCCTCCTCATCATTAGTACAAGGCAACTAATATCTCTCTCTTCACCTCTCTGCAGAAATGTGAACGCCTCCTGCTGCACATCTTCTGTCATGAGCTCAGCGTGGGCTTCAGGGAACCTGTTGCTAGCTCTGTAAGTAGCTCCACATGACACACACACACACACAGTTCAGCCAGTTCCACTACCTGATGGCCCAGGTCCTGTCTTCAGTCCTGTTCCTTTCCTTTTGTTTGTTATGCGGTGGCAACGATGAATTTTTCCTCTTTTTTTATTTTCATTAGTCCGCATTGGAGCTGTCTGTAGGACAAAGACATTCTTAGTCGACTAGCAATCATACAATTTTGTCAACTAATTGATAAGTTGTTTTAATTGACAGATCTATAAAAATTAGTTTCTCCACAAACAATCACACAAAAGCACCACTTTAAATCTCGTGCTTACCAGAGACCAGAGATGTGTGCATCACTTTCAAATGACTAATAGACTATAGAAATCTTAGTCAATTATAACTAAACAGCTGATTCTAGGACAATTTTGAAATGCACTGCAAACACCTGGCAGCACCTTTTTAGTGTCCAGTGTGCTGATATATTTTTCTTCAATTTATTTTATTGCATACTGTATTTTATCCTTTATGTTCTGCAGTTTATAATTGATTGGTTAGCTCTTGGTAGGCTCATTATTTTATGAACTCATTAAATCCGTTGAGACATGCTTGTGTTGAAGAGCTGAACAAATTAACATAATTTCTTATAGCCCTCATGTTGGCAAAGCAGGTGCAATCATAATTATAAACATCTGATTAAGTTTTCAAGTCTTTTAAGTTTGAAAGAAGAAACTCTGTAGAAACGTGGATATTTATGTTTGCAGTATTTATTACGTGCTTGAGGCAAGTTGAAAATGTTCTGGTCATTTTCTTCACAAAAATCTGCTGTGTTCTTTTTGATATGTGGTTTGTGTGAGTTACACACTCGTTGCATTGATTCAACAGCATTTCATGTAGGGATATAATAGTAATAGGCTTTTACTATTTGTAGTTTTTTCCATCAGTGGCTGCGTAGTCAGGATGTGCGGGTTGACTCACAGGTTTGGTGTGTTTGGATAAGCTTACTAAAAAATATCAAGTTGTTAATAACTTACAGAAACATTGCGTGGAATACTCCACAGCGCTCAGTCCTCAGTCCACACCTACATTTATTTATGTTGACAAAACTGACGAGTAATATTCCTTTAAGAAAGTTGATTTAATCAAAAGAGACTCGACTCATTTATCCGATTAATCACTTTGAGGATTTTGTTCGAGGATATGTTTGTTTTTAGGGAGATGACATCATAAAATATGACAACAGATATTAAGAGCTTTATTGGAATGCCCCAATTGAAGCTTTAAATGTAAAAAAATAAGGTACAGTCCTATATTCATGGGACAACAACTCAGCAAGGCATTGACACCATCTATGAAACAGGGGAAAAAAAGTTTGTCTTTCCAACACTTAATTCTCTCATCTTACTCCCTTTGGTATCACAGAACTACTTTGTTGTATGCCAAAATTGAAACCTAAGCTATCCTCAAAAAGCAAGCCACATTGTCCTCCGCCTCTTGTGTTCAAGCCAAATAGAAACTTGTCGACATCCTTTGATGCCGTTAGAGATGTTGTCTGACCCAGTTTTGTTTAACCAGGTGCCGAACTACTTCAAGATCATCAAGCAGCCCATGGACCTGAAGAAGGTGAAGAGGAGGCTGCAGTTACGAAGCTCCCAGTACTACCGCACCATCCAGGAGTTTGTGTCCGACATGCGTCTGATCTTCATAAACTGTGCAAATTACAACGAGGTGAGCGGCATGAATCCTGAGCCTGCTTTGGAGAATGGCTTCCACTTGTGTGCGTGTGCATGCAGACAAGGGTTAGACTGATATGAGTCGGAGTTTAAATTGCCACCAGCTAATTGAATAGCTTCGATTGAATCATTTGACCATTTTAAGGCTCCAAAGATATTTGGTATTAGGTCTAATATATTACCTAAATATATTAGTCTAACCTTGTGTGAAGACACAGCCTGACGTTGGAAAAGAAAGTGGGAATGGGTGCTGCTTACGGCCGGCAATGTGCATACAGTTCTGTACATCTACTAACATTGGCTGTTGGGGGTGATGGAGTATCGAGGCGCCACTGTGCTTTCATCACACCCACTGCCGTAACGCTGTCTGAACCCTGTTAATAACACTGTCTGCATCACAATGGCAAATCACAAGTTTGGTTTTTAATGGGTCACTATGGTTACTTGAATCATCTATTGGGGAAATGATTTACTTGAACGTATACTGGATGTATTTATTTGTTGTGGGTTGTGTGTATCTGCTTAATTGCTGATGATCTCATAAACCCTCTGTGTGTAGTTCAATCTAGCTTGATATGTCATCTAGAGGGATCCACTATAAAGGATACTTTATTTATAATATTTATTATGATCATGTTTTTCTCCTTCCAAACATATATGGGAGCTTCTACTTTTTCAAGAAGTTAACAATGTGTGGAATGACTACCCAGACTGCCCCGAGACATCACTGTATTTGGCCAGTGTTGATCTCAGGACAACTTCACCATACGTATGACATTATAATGGAACACAAATCTAATCTTTCCAGGCACGAGCATTACAACAAGTTCTGATGAACTAGTACCAACAAAATATAGATTATCAGCTAAGGACGGCTGTCCTGTTGAATGCCATCCCTGTCAAGAAAAATCAGCCTACGTACCAATTCATGGAATTAAAAAACAAATCAAACAAAAAACATAATTAAAATTCCATTTTTCAATGATGATGATGAGCAGCAGTGCTTAAGCTCTGGATACGTGAAGCCTTTGATGGTGTCAATAGCATTCTCAGAGACACTTCTTTTCTACTTCTTTAAACTATTTCTGTCAGCTACAGTTAAATAATCTGGCTGATTCATTTCCGTGATTATATCGGTTGTTAAGACAAAATTCTTGACATTTACACAGAAGTGGTGAAGAAACATTTACACAGAAATAGTGAGGAAACAGACAGAAGTGCATTGTATGTACCAGCATAGAGAGATGTTGACGTTGAAATTGTCACACGTTCCCGGTAGCTTCCTGTAGAGGAAGGAAGACCTGCAGACAGAGTGCAGACTTTACTTGCTGTTCATTTCTGCTGAAACAACCTCTAGGCTTGAGCACAGTAGGCCGTAAACAGATCTCTGATCTGTTATTATTTAACCTGCCTGTGCTGTGAACTCTTTTCTCCCCCCCTGCTGCTTCACTGTTTGTTATAATGTTATTGCCCCTTTTTAGATGTCTCGCATAATCCAGGTTTATGATGAGGAGAAACAGATTAATACGCAGGTAAGCCATTTCAAATGGAGCACAGATGTCTGGTCTCCTCCCACTGAGGCTCCAAGAAATGTTTTTGCCCTTCATCTTAGCATAGAGAATTCACGAGCAGTCATACGGTTTCAAACTACAGAAATTGGGCATAGAACGACTGAAAAATGGATTACATTTCTTTCCATTTAATCCTAATGAGAGGTGATAAGAACTGTGTTAGAGGTTACAGGGGGTCTACAGAGGTCTAATTTATTCATGTGCTATTTGCTTCAGAGGTCTTGAAACCAGTTTATTTAAGGGGCAGGTCTGTGTTAGCCCATTTCTGTATCTTTCTGAAATCGACACGCCGCACGAACCACAAACTCTTACGAACCACTTCTTTTCAATTCTAGCCTACATGTGGTTGATTCTACGATGCAAAACATAATGTAGTATAGGTGTGTTTTGTAATTTATCAGCGGCTGTGCAATCTGACATAATTAATCCTAAATCATTTCTGTCTTTTATATTTCAAATGCATGTAAACATAGATTTAAAGGTTCTCGATTCAGATCATGTTGACAGAGCTGACGGTGTTTACCTGGCGGGGGAGCAGGAGCGATGCAGCAGCTGGATGTTATAATTAACTGTGACTGCCGTATGAGCACAGTGCAGGGCGGCGGCCATCAGCTAGCCAGCGGGGCGCAACAGAGAGCCTTGCATGCACCGAAATGCACACGTGGACAGCCTTGCTACGTAAACAAAACACAGAGAAACTCTGATTACAACACACACATAGATAGTGACTTCATGTATCCAGGTAGACGTTACTCCACGATCTCTTTACATGGCAAATAGTTGTTTGCGGCTTTATTAATAGCTCTGACATAACCATTTATTCTCATTTTACAAACGTATATTCTTTATATTACAGTCTAATACTACGTTTATATGCATATAACATATTCCTATATACGTACACACTTAATTATAGAGTGACTTTAACCCCAGGCTGAAAAGCAGTGTATTGCTGCCCTCTAGTTTAAAGTTTTACGCCTGTTTCCGCTTATGACCACAACCAGCTTCACTGATCGCTGTGGTTGAGTGCAGTCACAAGTGTACTCTGTTGAACCTGTAACCATTTGTACTTTACTGCAGCAAGTTGAAAAGTCAAACCACTGGAGGTCAGCAAATACAAGATGTTCAGTGTGTGTTAGGTAGATCCCTCATGTGAAAGCAAAGTATCCACATACCTAGAAGTGGAAATGAGAGAGGGTGAAAGTATATCCACGTGAGAGGCTCAAAACAAGTCAGGGCTTGCACGGCCCCTCATAGTATTTAGCTTTTCAGGTTTTATTTTGGAGAATTCAGGCTTTGGAGTTATTTAGTTTCCAGCAGAGGTATAAAGTTGTAAAATGTTGGTGTTAATTTAAAGTCCTAACAGTCCTCGTGTGTTAACACAATCTCATATTTATTTATTTATTGTACCTTTTTTTTTTTTTTTTTTTGGTTTGCTGTGTTCTTTTCATGTAACATCAACATTTTTCTTTTCCTGTGTCATTCGTGGTATCAACTATTTTAAATGTTCATGTTGTACTAACTGGTTCTTAACGAGCAGGAAGTATTTAAGCCTAGCCTAAATTATATTTTGACCCTCATCTATGATTGTGTAAATGCTTCATGGAGCCACAGTGGGACGGGGCGGTAGGATATCTCTGCTCTGTACAGCAACGTTGAGCTGGGGCCACCCTACCACTAGGAGTCTTAACCTGATCTAATTTGTCTCCTCATTCTCCTCTTCTTCCTCCCTGCTTCATCCCATTTATTTATCCTGCTTAATTGTACTCATTCCCCCTGCTGCCTCCATATCACTCTTTACCCTCTTCTTCTCTTCCCCCCCCCCCCCCCCCCCCCCCCCCCCCCCCCCCCCCCCCCCCCCCCCCCCCCCCTCCTCCTCCTCCCTCTCCTCCTCCGGCAGGTGGGCTCAGAGATGGCGATATCTGGCAAGGCAGTAAGCCTGTACTTCGAGGAGAAGTTGCAGGAGATGTTCCCTGGGCAGAGCTTCCCGGAAACACCGGAAACACCCGACACCGATTGCCCGGAAAAGATGGACGATGGCGACACGGACGACTCTGAGGACTACTTCATACAGCCCAGACGCAAACGGTTAAAAACGGACGAGAAAGTGGTCCACATCAAGTGAGAACCATTCACAGAAGAAACAAGAGAAGTGTAAAGACTGTCTTCTTCAAATTCTACACTTCTCGTTTGTTTGAGGCAGCAGACAAAAAACGACAAGATTCACTGTACAAACTGCTTTGGGTTATCTCATCCTCTCCTTGGGAAGAACAACTGTCGACTACATTAATAAACATCTGCCTTCAACAGAACTCTTAAAGACAAACATAGAAGAGCTGCATTTCCTCCTTATGTCATGGACACTCAAGAACCCGCCTGTACAGATTTTTGATGTAGGACTTGTTTTGCAGTAGTTAAGTTAATGATTGCTCTTATTCTTTTCTATCATCCATTTTCATTGGTAGATTTGTTGTGACGGTTGCTTTATAAAACGTTTGATTCCTCCATTGCCAGTTCTTAATGTATTATATCTATACTTTGACATGAAACCAAGTATTTGTATTACTTTGTGGAAGCATTGTGTAAATAAGAGAATCTAGCCCACTGAAGGTATTCCTACGGTATAGATGTTTGGTTGCGTCATCAATAAAACCTGTTCTTGAAATATATTAAAGAAAATGTGTGGTGTTGAGTAGGTTTCGGGATTGCCAGCGAGCTCTTAGAAGGAGCAGTTCACCAAAAATTACAAAAAACAACAACAAAACCTATTTCCACACATCCTTGGTATTTAGCCATTTTGGTTAAATTTGCCCATGATTCAAGATTCCTGCATTCAAAATGTCTGTTATTTCAATTGTGGTGCGTACACATTTAACAGCTGCATCTCTTTACAGAAAGTGTCGCCCTTACTTTGAAAAGTACACATGGTAACATTATGTGCTATACTTATTTTGAAAGTACATGTCCTAAACCAATGCAATATAAAGTGATTTAAATGGTGAACTTTACATAGTGCATTAAAACATCAAAATGCTGTAATGCCAAGAAGAAGTCACGTTGACTCCATAAAGAATATCGCAGCCTCGGCTAATGCATTGCAAGATTCAGTCCCCTCTTACTGTCGCTCCGAGCACTTTGACACAATAAACTGAACCAGAGGTTGAAGTCACATTACTAGAAGCACTCGATGATAGTGGGAACTTGCTTTATTGCTGCAGTCCTCATAATATACACGCACGAGCTGACATCAGCGTGTATGGTGCTGAGTCCGCAGTCTGGCAGAGAGTCTGCTGACCACCTTTCAACATCTTAAACATTTTCCCAAGTAGCTCTGGAACAAATCCCCTCGTCTTTTTCAACCGCAGTCGGACATCGGGTTTGCTCGCCTCTTCGTGGTAGGATGTTTTTCTCTTGACAACTGATTGCTCATCTCAAACACGATTAACCAGGACAATTAGTTTCGATTTAAAAGTAGCCCCTCTTGCGATAACGATAATTATCCATCTCATCATCGTAACATTTAACAAAATGAGAAGAACGGCCACTGATAAATCCAAAGTTCACTGAGAGATCATTTGCATACAAGCCCGCTTTACTCAGGATTTACTCACGTGGACCTGGTAATATTATATAATCACCTATAGGTGTATTTTTTTGGCAGCTACATACTAAAATGCAAAGTTAGTTGAAGAATGTAGGAGGCCTCGGGGCTGATGACTGAATTACCATGTGGAGATAAATAATGTAATTTGACGAAGCTCGTAGATATGTGATGAGAGTGTGTGAAATGTGTGAGCTCTGGAACATCAAACTGTTTGTCCCGGTTCTTCTACATATCGATGGCCAAATCGCAAAACCTCCAATCTGCCTATTTTCTAAGAAGAAAACCTCCTATCTGCACTTTGAGAGGCACTAATACCTAGTCGATATTGTTAACACATAATAATATAGTCCAAAAACAGTGTATTATGTTTTAGTATCCTTAACAAATAGCATTCTGCAAGAAAACAAGTTTTTTTTAGTTTTTTCAAAAAGGTGCATTTTTCAGATATAGGTTTTGCTCTTCGGCCATCGATATGTAACAATAACATGCGCTCCGTTCCGCTGCCTTGTTCCACAGCCTTAACACATGTTTTACAATCGTCTATAACAGTCTCTACCAGGGAATGTTACACACTGATATTGATCCTGAACTTTAATCAGAATAATGTTAGTTCATCAACCTTCAAATCATAACAAATCCATAAGGAGAAAGGAATCCGTTATCGTGAGCTCTACGAATCAATTACAGACGTTTTTGTTTTTCCAAAAAACATCATTTTATGATGACTGTGGATCAATTGAGGCATCAAAACAATCTGATGCAAAAAACTGAAAAAAACAATGTGTTCAAATGTAGTATCGACAACATGGAGGGATGTCTGGCACACATGTACAATCCTCGGCGAGGGATAATCTTATTAAATTAACGAAATGTACATTCTTGGAGCCCAATCTCAAGTCACGTGCCAGTTCCTCGATGTGCCTGCAGTGACGCTTCAACCCACCGACCAATCAGCTCGCGGACGCAGGCCCAGCTGATTTATCTGCCTGCTTCCGTGTTGTTTCCACAGTGTCGGAAAAGTTGTTGTTCAGTTAAGGACTCGGAAAGTCAGCGGCCACACAGGCAAGATACATCTGCTTTACTCATTTCCATCCGGTCATTCTTCGGTAATTATGACGTAAAGCCGTCAGGCAAAATCCAACTGTCTATTCGTCGGTAGTTTAAGTTACTACCTAACGTTAGCTAAGTGGCTAACAATTCATTTGATTTAACGTTATGCTGTGGTTTCTGATCGGCGCATTTTGTGTGAAACAAACAGAAACAAGTATGTTTTCTGTAGTTGAGCGATGCATGAATGAAGACACACACAGCAACACTTCATTCCGCTGTGTTGCTCTAATCAGCTAACAGAAGAATGTGGATAACCGGACTGTTTGGATGTTTTTAGTTGCTCAACAGACTTTGACCCAGTTGCGACCGCGTTAACTGGACACCGGTGTTAAGTCCTGGGCTGTGTTGTTCTCCTTGCTGTTTTGTTTATGGCTGATTCAAGCCCGTGTTGACGCTCCGACAACTCCACATCTGTGCCATATGGTTCGATCAGTGGCTACATGTTCCTGTGTTATGCTGTCTAGGAAGCATCGTGTAAATATGTTTTTTGTAGGCTGGCGATGTAACCTGTTAGCGAGAACTGAAGACGTGGAAAAAGGATGTTATGTGTTTTTAATAAACACAGACCTCTTTCTCTCCAGCAGACTATGAGGACAGACGGAGTCCTCACGCGCGGTGCCTTTGGATTGACCACTCAAGAAGGAAACTTCACCTCCCTTTGCCCCAACGGGTCCAAATGGGTCTGGGAAGGGTTTGGGGAATGTGCCCAGGATGCGAGGGACATGGCCAGCGTTTACCTGGGCCTCCTGTCCATCCTCTGCTTCATGGTGTCTTCACTTCCGTAAGTGTTTGTGCCTCTCAGAGGAAGTGCTCTCTCATCTGATCACAATGTGTAATTGTGACTGTTGGTGTGTCATCTGATCATAATGTGTACTTGTGACTGTTGGTTGTGATTGCAGACAGTACTACAGCTCGTGTAAAACGGGGAACATGGACAGTGCCCTCTCTATTTGGTTCCTGCTGCTGTGGTTGGGAGGTGACACCTGTAACCTGGTGGGCTCCTTCTTGGCGGACCAGCTTCCGCTTCAGGTGACTTGTTGTGGTTTTTCTATAAATCATTGTTTTTGGTCTATAAAATGTCATGAAAACCCGAAATTAAAAAATGATTGAGATTTTCTTTTTCATTCAAAGAAACAAAATTATGACTTTAAAAAAAAATAATGTTATGACACAAAAAAATGAACAAATTGTCCCATTTTTAGAGCCGTTATCTGCTAATTATTGGTTGTGCCTTGATCAGGGACTTGATTGAGTAATTGATTATTCAAATTCTTATTGATAATTTTTCTGGTAATTGACTAATTAATTACTTGACTATTCATGTAAAATATTGACAACAATAGATTTTTTTAAGTGTATTCAATTATATTGACTATTTGTGTGAAAGAAAAAATGTTTTTTTCACAACTTGTGTCTTTCTCCTTGTCATCCAGACGTATACAGCCGTTTACTATGTTATTGCTGACATGGTGATGCTGGGCATGTACTTGTACTACAAGATATGGAACAAGATGTTAGACAGTGAGTGTTTTTTTTCTTTCACTACTCATTTTTTTGTTTACAAATGCACAATATAATAACCGCATCCTTGTTTAGTTGATTTCTTGATTCAGCCACTACTAAGGCACTGCTTATTTCTAAGACCAGTTTTTATCTGACTTAGCTGCCTAATGAACAAGCGTCTCATATCAGTGCTGAGGAACAATGATCCAACACTAGTCCAGACAGAGGAAGAGGGTGATCACTGTACCCGGTTATGTCATCACATGCCTCATGTCACTGCCTTTGTTCCACTGCTGGTGAACTCTGACCCTTGTCTGGAGGAATGTGCTTCGATGTCTTTCCCGGTATTGATGCTGAACCCAGGTGTTGTCTCTTCCCCAGGCAGGAGGGTTTTGCACGTGGTGGGTGTAGCCTGTGTCCTGGGCTTCACCACAGGCCTCGCCCCCCTCCCTGGATTAGGTGTCCAACATGAAGTTGTTCCTTCTGGGTTCAGAGGTCGCGCCTTGCTCTCAACCTCCGATGTTAGTCACATCAAGGTGAGTCATATTAATTTGTTTATTAGGGACCAGAGGGGGGTCAATTCATTTTGTCTGGCTTTTTATTTGTGGTGTAATGTTGTTGTGTCTGCCTCTCTGTCGCTTCAGACTTTTACCACTAAAGAAATTATTGGATTCTCCATCGGCTCAGTGTCGTCAGTCCTCTACCTCTTTTCCAGACTTCCCCAGATGTACACTAATGTGAGTATGACAAAGTGCTTCCTGCTGCACATGTGTTAATTCCTTTGTAATACTGGCTGCATACTGTAGACGTTAGCTGATACTAATACTTATGCTAACACTAAAAACAAATGGCTGATAATAATAATTAGAGTAAGTATCCTCATAATATTACTTCAGCATCACTGTATATTTTGCACTTTCAAATGTTGTTTCTATTTTTGTAATTGCATGTATTTTCTTATTACACTAATGTTGGTTAAAGTACTTCCAATACAACAAGTTCTAAACAATAAAATTAGAGGAGTCTCATATTGGGTCAGGTATCCACGGGTACCCAATAAGTAACATTCATAAAATATTTCCAAATTTAAAGTGATACGTAAAGATAAATAAGATATGTAGAAATGCATGTGAAATGATAATCATGGACAAAAAACAGCTGTGAATGCATTACAAGTTGTGTTTTGATGTATGTTTGTATCTGCACCAGATGAAAAATGTATATCAAAGTGAAAGAGACAAGATTAAATGTAGCTGAAAGCTGAGCAGTCAAAAACGCCTGTGAATATGATGCTCGGAGAGCTCGGACGATTGCCTCTGCAATCTGCACACATCACTCTGGTGGACAATGTGTGGTGGCTGTGTATACCATCCTCTATTCCTTAAAAAAAAAAAAAAGGTTTGTGGTCCCCCCCCCCCCTACTTCTCCCCACAGTTCAAGAGGAAGTCGACAGAGGGGGTGTCTTTCTTCCTGTTCGCGCTGGTCATCCTGGGAAACTCTACATACGGCCTGAGTGTCCTGCTGAAGAACCCTGATGAGGGCCAGGGCGAAAAAAGCTACATGATCCATCACTTGCCCTGGCTCATCGGAAGCCTCGGCACCCTCTCCTTAGACCTCATTGTATCCTTTTAAAGAATTACTGGAAAGCATGAGCCGTCGTTGCCGGGCCTCTGGGCTCTCTATTTATCCCACGTACATGCTACATTTTAGGCAGTGCTGAGCTGGAAGAGGGGACACTTAATCAGATGGGTTTGTGTCTCGTGACTGTGTGTCTTGAAATACAATATGCAGTATCAAAGGTCGAAGCACTCACAGGGAAATTAGCTTGTCACAAGCAAAGAAACAAGGCTGTAGAAGCTGCACTAGTGCCTCCTGGAGGCCATGTGCTTCTTTGCACCCCACAAAAGTGGTGGACTTGAGTGTGCGTGCAGTGGCTTGCTGCTTTCGTTTTCAATGAATATTATAGAAGAGGTAGAAACATGTGACTTGATGATGAGCTCTTGGGGAATCCAATCCTGTACATCCGATGTAAAGGAGTCTGGTATTCAGTAAAATATATTTGTAACACCATAAATAATGGTCACTTCATGTATTTATTTCATAACTTTATGGTTAAATATGATCTCAAGTTTGTCATTGTTGTTTGTGTTTCTAGCTGCATAAAAAAAAAGACACTTTCCCAGGATTTCTTTAGATTTCCTTAACGTTGTGGTTCAGATCTGCATCCAGTTCTTAATTTACCGCAAAGCTAAGTTGGAGGTGGACGGCGGCCGCGGTGAGACGACGCCTCTTATTGGGAGCTAAGCCGAGAGTGTACTGGTGGAACACGAACGTACACTCGCTTCCAGTGAATCCTCAAAATCATCACTTCCAACAGGATCGGGATGAAAGAACATTTTAGTGAGATTTGATTGTGTAATTTATTATGCTCTTTTCATGTTTACACTTTGTTTTTATCTGCAAAAGTACTGTGGCAGATGAAGTCCTTCCCCTGGAGTTCAGCTGCAGTGATGTGATTTACGATTCTCTTAATGTTCGAGTTTTTAAAGGGACGATTGAAGGTTTTCAGGTGTCGCACATGGATTAGAAACTCCTCCTGTCAACCCGAAATCCTCCTGATTTTAGGTTACAACCTCAATTTGATTTCAGACCTAATCTAGATGTCAGAATTCTGCTGGCCGGGGGTGACCAGACCACACCGGGGTTTGTCTCAGAGTATTCTGGTGTTTTTAAGTTGCCAAACACTTTGACGGCGTTGACACTTAACCGCTGCATGAAGCCCAGTTTCATCCTGTTGCAGTGACGTGTCTGACCGCAAAAGAAGAAATGTTTTGCAAAACATTTCCAAATGTAAATTCTATTTAGTCAATTTTTAATTGATGTTTACACCAAGTGCTTTAATCACAGTTTTGAGAATTGTTTTTTTGTTCATTTTAGATATATTTTTTATTTGTAGTGATATGATTTTTATTTTATTAGCTATTTAAAAATGCAGACACTTTTGTTTGCACTGGTGATAAAAGTAACAACACACTACTGTGTTTAATTTACACATGTTCGTTGCTTCATTCTCACTGTTTTGCACAACAAAAGTTAGTTTTGTACTTAGAGAAATATTGAATATGTTCAGTAGGTCAGTGTACTGTAAAGATTAAACAATAAATAAGTAATTTTCTTTGTTCTTTTTGATTCTGGGCTGATTTTTTGTTTTTGTTTTTTTTTCTCTACGAATTAAAAAAACTCTGCTCTTGCGAAGAAACACTCTGGGGTCGCTTCCTCCCCTACAGTTTGCTCTCTTCACCTCCCACTTTTTTCAGCCCAGCAGAGGTCAAGGCCTGCTCTTGGCCTTGATGTAGACCTTTACCCCTTTGCCTTTGCTAACCTCAACCCCTGCTGACTGTGTTCGACCTGCTCCTGGGAGGCCTTGACAGCCGTGTTGTTTTTTGTCATTAGCAGATTCACACTGGCCTCTCAGTTGCTCCCTCCTCCCTCATAACACCCACGCATGCACACACTTTCCCCCGCTATCAAACATAATGCAATCACGCATAGTCAACCAGTAAGGGCCCACCCACCAAGAAAGCAAGGTCAGTACAGAAACTATCTTGGCTTCAGTGTGTGTGTGTGTGTGTGTGTGTGTGTGTGTATGTGTATTTTGGGGTGGAGGGTTGTGAAACAGTGGCAGAGAGATTGCTGAGCGGGTTGGAGAGTTAGCAGGAAGAACAGTGATAGGGAACATCCATCCATCACAAGGATGAACAAGAGGCTGTTTATAAACACTCCATACTGGGAATTTGTTAATGAGATGATTCCAGTTGCTACAAGTAGTGCAGGAACGGGGTCCCTTGTGACTCGGAGAGGTTGCCAGTTCAAATCCCTAGTCCAACCAAAAGGCCCCATGCTGGGGGATTTTATGGTAAATTTAGGATAGTGTTGAAAATATATCTAATTTACCATGTCAGACACCCTACACTTTACCTCTGAATGCTATTGTTGTCCAGTTTCACTTTTCATGTTTCCCTCAAATATTCCCCATAAAAGGTTTATAAATAATGTATCCTCCTCACTGACAGACTTCTGTCCTGCAGGAGAACATTTACAGGAAAAGAAGATCTTTGGTCAGGTTTCCGCACGTCCAGCTAAAACACACATCAAGAGCAGCAGTCTGTTTACTCTGTGTGATTATATATGTGTGTGTGTGTGCGTGCGATTGTGTGTGTGTGTGTGTGTAAGGATGGAGGCTGGGCTGAAGTCAACATTACAAAAAGTTAGTTGGACAAAGGGAGAGGACGTCGGGACGCTCGGTGCAACAGGAAGGTTCCCACCATCAGCGGTGAGTCCACCACCTCTGCTCCTAACTAACACAACTGCAACATTAACAGAATTGTTCATAGGCCAACGCACAGATCTTTGACCTAAAGAGCAGCACGTTACTATCCTGCAGTCTGAATCAGTCTCGTCTATAAGGATTTAAAAAAAGGGAGTTTTTGACATTTACATTTATCATTTTTCTGCTGCTCTGTGTTCAACCCTTCGTTGCAATTTTAATGCAATTCCAGCCAGAACAGATCTTCAATGTGATTCACACCAGCTGATTAAAGGCACAGGTGTTAATTAATGATGGCCAGTTTCTACATGCTGCATTAGGATCCAGTGGGGGTTGAATTTAATGTATTTATTTTATATATCCAGCATGCTTAAGCATAGAATACGTAGTGACCTCAACAGATCATTGGAAATGGTTTCAAACAAATCATTTTAGTTGTGACAACTGATATTTTACATTTAACATTCCTTCCCTTGATAGCCAAGTAAACCCCCAACCACACTCACTCACATATGCTCAAACATAAGCTGTGAACTTTACTCACGAACCCAAGGCCACTTTAATGTAAGTGTCAGTTTCCTGCGAGGATCAGTAAACAGTCCCAACCATTATCGAGCTGCAGCTACCAGCCAGCAGCTCTCCGATAAAGAGGAGCTGGCGGCATGGAGGAGACGTCCTGAACAGGATTTACGATGTGCTGAATTTATCTCAGGGCTTGTACTGTGAGTGATTCAGGACTAATGAGTTCAGGAGGTTTGCACATGCACATGCCATCACTTAGTTTGAGGAAAAGTTGACTTCTTTGTCATTTTCAGTTTGCTTTGTTTAAGTTTACATTGAAATGCTAGACCTTGCTCTTGTTTCTCTGGCGCTCATCTCATCATTTTGGTACAGTTAGTTGGTTCACAGAACACAACCTAATTCAGGGAACACGCCAGAGTCCAATTTAAACTATCCGTGCATGATATGAACTTGCCCTTAAAGAGTCCCCCCCCCACACTCTCCCTCTTCTTTCGTGATTCTCATCTCCCATGGGGCGAGCCCTCATCGTCAGGCCCGTGTCCAACAATGTGTCCAACAGTGTGACACCTCCTGAAGATCCATGGCGACATTTGCACGCTCTCAGATGTTGTCCCCATCGTTCAGTGTCACTCTAAGCACTGCTGCTGCCTCAGAGGTCAGAGACAGTTGGAGGAATGGCTGATGCTTGTTTTGCCATGACACACTGATATTAATGGAGGAAAACACAACAGACCACCTCTTCTTTTGCAATGGAGTCATGCATCTCTCTAGATTATTGTAGTAATGTCAAGGAAATGATGCCTGAGTGAAGATCAAACAAGTTGGCTTAAATTAGAATAAAGTGAACTATTTGACATGACATTTAGTAGAAACTTTCAAGGTTCCCAGTGGATAAATCCTACTGACTTTCGTGATCCCCTGACTTTTCTTCCAGCCCCACCGTGAGGTTGAAGTTTGTGGGTTTAAGTCAAATATCTCAACAACTAATGGATAGATTGCCATGAAACTGGGATGAGTTGTAAGAACTTTGGTGGTCCGCTGACTTTCCCTCTAGTATCATCAACAGGTCAGATAATTAAATTGCCCAATAATCCCTGCAAAACTCATCAGCCTCAGCTGTACTGTTTAGTGCTAATTAGAGAATGTTAGCACGCTAACACGGCATCAAAGATGGAGAAGATGATATACCTGCTAAACTAAAGCTTGTTAATATTTTCATTGCTAGCATGTTTGGCTATCAAGCCGATGTTAACATTCAGCTCAAATCACTGCCGTATACAGTATATAGAATAGACAGAAATATTGTATTGTAGAATTACAATATGGAGAAACAGAATGACAATATCATATCAATGAAGTATATGTCAATGCTTCTATGATGCTGTTCTCCGTGACCTTTATCTAACCATAAAACCTTCAAAGTAATACCATCAATGTAGTTATTAGTCTAATGTTTTCACCATTTAAAGGCTTGTGGTGTTGAATGCAACTGTTTCTGGCAGTTGGACTGTTATTGTAGGTCTATGACATTCATTTGTGCTCTATTAGTTTGTGGTTTTCCCTTGAGTACAATTTATCTCAAAACTGTTTGTCATCGTGGACTGTGGTCACATGTGTACAGATTTACCCTTTGGACACAATCTTCAAAGGAAAGTCACTGTGTAGCTGGCGCCCAAATTCCTGTGTCATTTGTCACTGAGATCAATCACGATCGCTCCAGTGAGCATTACTGACGAACCCTCTGCTATCCACCAATCAGTCCTGGTTCCCATAATGAGCCAGTGAGAGGGATGATATGCGGGTGGGAGGACGCCGTTAATCCCCAGTAAGCATGCTGCATGTCAAACGGCCCTGCTCAGAGATTTACAGGCCAGTGTTGAGGTCACTCCTCTGTCTCCACTGGGCGGTTCAGGCCTCGTCTCATTTTGCTCTGCCCCGGCCTGGTTAACTGTCTGTGGGGGAGGAGGAGGTCCCAGAGCCCCTTTAAATCTAACTGCTGTCCAATATTAACTGCAGCACAAACAGAACAGCGGTAAACAAAAGCAAAGTAAACACACTCCCAAAGGCTTGGAGGACAAACATGGACGGACAGACAGACAAACACACATTAACTGTAGCAAGCTTCACAAGCAGTATTTAGTCCACGAAAAAAACTTTTAACAATTGATTTAATGATGGTAAATACTTTATTCGACTCATCAGATTAAACTGAGGAAAATAATTCATTTTTTCGAGCCCAGCTGTTGCCCTCTGGGATACATCCATTCAGACCAAACCTCAACACACACACACACACACATACACACAGAGACACACACACACACATACACGCACAGACACACATTCAATTTTCAATTTTAATTTCAATTCAATTCAATTCATTTAGTATCGCCCAAAAACCCAAATTTGCCTCAGAGGGCTTTACAATCTGTACACATACGACATTCTCTGTCCCGGGACCCTCACATCGGAAGAGGAAAAACCCCCCCCCCCCCCCCAAAAAACTTTAACGGGTACACTCAATGAGTGTTGGGTGTCCTTCACTCTGTGGGATAAAGTCTCCATCTTTCCCTCCATCCATCCCTCCCTGCCGTCGATCTGTGAAGTCCCCGGCCAGGTCCAGCTGTTTGGACCCCAGTCACATCCCTGTCCTTCCTGGGTGTCCCCACTTTCCCTTTCGTCTATCCCCCGGGGACGATTAAGACCTCCTCCAGCACATCATCCACCACAGACCAAGAGCCAGCTGCACTCATCCTCTGTTTTTTAAAAATAGGCTGGGATATCAACCTCTTCAGCTAAGAGACCTGGGGATAGAGGAATGTCTCCGCACTTCCCAGATCCTTCATATCTTTGTGAATCCTCTGAGTAATTGTCTGTGTGTGTGTTTATGTCTTTGCAAGTGTGTGTGTGTGTGTGTGTGTGTGTGTGTGTGAAGATAGATCCCGTATTACTAGCTGGAGAGAGGATTTTCTGTCCAGATGAGAGAGTGGACTGAGTTGGAGATGAGCTTTTCGGCAGGGGGGTTTTTCTCTGCCTCGGATGGTTACTGCTCAACGGAGCAGCTCCAGTATTACGGTGAGTCCACACTGACACGTCTCTTCTGACTTTCTTTTCTTCATATCATTTCTTATAATAATAGATAAAGCACTGAAGATAGAATAAATGATGTCTTAGTTGGACTGTCGAAACTTGATACCAATACATTTAACACCAGGAAGAGGAAAGACTCGATATTCAGACACGAGTGTCAATGTCTTATGTGATTTGAATGTGTGGAGATATTTTAGTTGCAAAGTATTTCCAGTGTTATCAGTCAATGGTAAATTTAGTCAAATGTGTCGTTATTGGTTCCTGGTTTATTTCTAATCTGCGCTATCAACTGTTGTTTCCGCTGTTGTAAAGAGTTTCTTCACCCAAATTAGGAAAACAAATTGTCTCACTTACTGCAGATAGTTTTGGTTGAATTTCTTCACGTTTTAGATATTCACTTCTAAGATTTCAGACTCCATCCCAATACAATTGATGGAATAAAGAAAATAATATATTTAGATATAAATATATAATAAATGCATTTCCTTTGTGGTGCCTTCAGCTTTGACAATATAGATACCATCAGTGTTAAGAAAGAAAGCATGTTTGTTTGTTTGTTTTCTGTAATATGGGTGAACTGACCCTCTGAAGTGACACCAAAATGTAAGGGAGCTCTGCAGGACAGGCCCTCTAGACTGGTGTCACATCAAATAAAGTCTACTCAAGTTTATTTATGCACTATTTTTGACCCTTTTCATTATATATTCATTATATAATACATTTAACAATATCCCATATTCATCACTGGTGTTTAACAAAAGTTATGTATGGATCCTTTAAAGGTGCTAAATTTGAAATTCAGTGCATTAATATAGCAGCAAACAACTAATAACGTAGTAATGTCTACCTGAGCAGAGACTGAAGTCACTCTTCCTCTCTGTGTGTTGCAATCCGAGTTTCTGCTTTGTTTACATGGCCGCCCATGCATTTTAGTGCATGTGATTCTTTCTGTTGCGCCCCACTAGCTGGCTAACGGCCGCAGCTTTGCACTGCACTCATATGTCGGTTACAACTGAAAACAATGTCAAGGCCCACGGCGTCGTCAGGGAAGAGTAGCATTATTCAATTATTATTAGCGCTGGAGCCGATCACAGCTGGGCGAAGGCAGGGTACATCCTGGACAGGTCGCCAGGTCTGACACATAGAGACAGACACACACCTACGGGCAATTTAGAGTCATCAGTTTACCTTAGCTGCAGTTCTTTAGACTGTGGGAGGAAGCCGGAGAACCCATGCTTCCACACAGAAGGCCCGGCCAGCCCAGGTATCAAACCCTATCCCCTCTTGCTGTGAGGCAAGAGGGGCCACCACACCACCGTGCAGCCCGACCCTGCTGGCTCAGTCAGCACTCATACTGTTCTTTGTACTGTTCATGCTGTCAGCATGTTAGCTGCTAGCCGCTCTTTGTTGAGGGCCATGAGCAGGCAATAGATATGCTCTGAATTCCGTATTGTGCGCCTTTGAGTAAGTAACTCATACATTATATTGTTATAAAACAAGGATGTGACTGAACTTTCACAGTTGATGAATGAAATGAGCGTTTATTTACCACCTCTGAGAACTCGCTGACATGAAAAAAATTGTTCTTGAGGAGTTTCAGCCGGCTCGATGCATTCACAGCACGCAGGGAGGCTGAGTGTGCATCGGAGGATCTATTTATACTGACATGTATTCCCCCTGTTGTCTCCCCTCCTGCCCTCAGGAGCAGGGGGAGGAGGACGGTGGAGGCGCAGCTATGGGGGGTAGTTTGCTGGGGTTGTTTGGCTCCCTAGTGCGTGGGATGGAAGGGAGGCTGAGGAGTGTTTAGACAGTGTTCAAATGGTTTACAAACAGTGCGAACCACAGCGCTGTCACATGCAGAGAAAGCAAGGACCCCCACCCCCCCGCCACAGTCTGGTGAAGACAGGAAACATCTGGAGAGAGAACGAAAGAGGACAAAAGGATGGAGTGAGGACGGGTTAATCAGTGATGATTCTGATATTTACTCAATCAAGGGTGTCAATCAACTTAATGCACCAGTTTTCTACATCTACTTTGTCATTTGTCATGAAAACCTCCAGGAAATGTCTGGGGTCCAAAAGGTTGAAGACTGATGACTGATAAATAGTCGCAGTGGCAAAGTATTAAAAGTACCAGACCGTACCATTCCCTTTGGACTTGGATGGATCAGAGAGTGCAGGACTGGCTGTGTCCTCAACACCGAGGTAGAACAAGTCTTGGGGAAAGTGAGAGGGAGAAATGTTCCAGTTCTTTAAAGGTAATGAGGTGATGAGCAGGTGACATGGGAAGTGTATTTTGTGAGAATGCTGTGACTTCAGGATAAGAAGATTGATACCATTTTCTTATATTTACCGTGTGGCACTGATCCTCTCAACTAACTAACGAAGACACATTTTCCATATAATCCGATTGTTTTTAGCCCCCATCTTCATGCAACGTGTTTTACCCTTTAAATTTACATCTTCAGCAGTCCTGAGACTCCTGACAGCTGGGTGGGCTCTACGTTTAATCAGCGCATAAAAGATCCCACAGCAGTCCCAGTCGTGCTGGTCCAGCTGTTCTTTCAGAGGCTGCCAGTGGTCACACATGTTTTCTCAAAGGAGACGGGACTTGCAAAACACAAGCTGCTGATACACGCTCAGAGACGTCTCAGCCCGTCACAACACGGAACGGCCATTACAGACTGAATGAGGCATCCAGAAACGGGGATCAAAAACTCCTTGATGGCACTGGGAGCTCTCAGCTGCATCCTGTTTCAGCAAATTCACAAGGCCTCAATCTCAGCTTTTTATTATATCCCCCAAGAACCATAAAAGCAGTCACACGAGTCACGTAAGACCACATTCCTACGACGCTCTTTGACTTTGTAACAGCCTAATAGTGTTCCTATAATGGTCATTCATGTTTCTGTTCTTGCTATTGCACTTCAAGAAATTGTCTTTTTTGTGCATGTGTGTGTGTGTGTGTGTGTGTGTGTGTGTGTGTAGGTGTGTGTGGATGTGCATGTGCATGTGCGTGTGTGTGTGTGTGGGTGGATGCCTTGTAAACAGGGAAATCAATAGCCAGGTTTCTCATGCTCCATGTAAAAAATCATAAACCAAGATAAGACTCAAAACCAGGATACTAGTGTACATGTTAACGCATTCATCCTTAAAGGATACATTTGGTAATAGTCAATTTACTCTATTTATCTCATTGACAGCCAGTCACAAATAAACTGTTTTATATTTTCAAAAAGCTCAGTCATTTTCGAAAACTGCTGGTCACTGTAGTTTTTAGACAATGTTACTCAAAGAGGAGTAAATAGGGCATTTGTTGGGGACTATTTTTAACTGTGGATGAATCAGGGTAGGAAATTTACATATTTTTTAGGGGGGCAATTTTTGCCCCCACTGACTGAAATCCAGGGGCATTTTCAAAGAATTGGGGGCACTTTTTGAAACTTGTGAAATAACATTTAACCTTTGTTCAAAATAATAAATATACTTATTTAGGCTTACAGTATATGAGCAATTGTCATCAAATGGCAATAATAATAATAATGATAATAATAATTAGGCAGTAGTCTACAGATTCAAAGTGTTTTCTTAGATTTTTTGAACAAAAAACAAACATAAATCAGACAATCATATTCAATTTATTCTTATTTCTTTGTGGTTATTTATTGTTATTATTACATTTTTTAAACAACTATTAACAATTATTAAGTCAACGATGCCTTGATTACATATACATCAGTCATTGTATGGAATTATTGAGAAAGATATTTTTGTTTTCCTGAACTTATGCATCAGTCATTGTGTGGAATTTTTGAGAAAAACATTTTTATAGCACCTTATAAATTTAAAAAATGTGCCATTTGAAGGTACAAATTCAGTTCAGAGTTTTTACTTAGTAAAATATCTTAATTGACTGTCAGTCAGGTATTATTCATTAGCAACCCTCAAATCAAAGAATAAAGACACTTTATGCACAATTTAGGTGTATTTTCCCTTTAACTCACGAGATGCAGGTAGCATGTTTTATACTTAATGTGAATATAATTCATTTAATCTAATTTCCATTATGCAATATGTATACTTTGTTGGCATCTTATTCTGAAAACCGGATGTTCGTCTGAAGAAACCGGATGTTGTCTCACGTTAATCTTTCCGCTAACTTTCAAAGTCCTTCGCTCGCTCCCGATCTGTGCCGTTTGAATGAGTTTACCGTGAATGTCAGCATATAGGTGCACTAACATGTGAGTGTCTGCTGAGTTGACCGCAGTCACAGGTCTGATTAAGAAGCGCTCCATTTATTTATTCGTTTAGAAAGTTCGGCGGCATTTTTTGCCCCTCTCCTAGTGATATCAGGGGAAAAATGATATTTCTTAGGGGCAGTTTTGCCCTTTGCCCTCGTGTATTTCCGACGCTGGGATGAATACACGTTTGGTGCTCCAGTATTTTCGGCAGCAGGGTGAATATGTGAGATTGACTCAAAATTGACTACAGTGCCCATGTTCAACTTAATGAAGGAACGTGTCACCTGGTGCAAGAGTGACACATTGATGTGCTTCTAATTTTGGACAACAATGGAGAACAGAGGAGTACGATATGTCAGGCTTAAGCCACACAGACAGTACTTGGTGGTACATGTCTTTCTATGAGGTTTGTTGACAATGATAAAACATATAGAATATCAGCCATATCCTAAACAAATTGGATGTCAGTTACATGGGGAAACAAGGCAGTTTGATTTGATAGAATGGGCAGAAAGTCAGCACCAGTGAGGATGCACTGTTTTCCAGGAAGTGGAAAGGAAGTTCCAAGAAGTGAACAGTTTTCTAAGAAGTTCAAATTCATTTCTCATGCGTCAGATCAATAAAATAAATAAATGCCTTAATACTCTTGCTCTGATCCTTTTCCTTTTGTATCTGGATCTATTGCCAAAGAAAACACAGTTCACTCATTAGTTTTTAAACTTACATCTCTGACCCCCAAAACAATTATTAAAGTTTTTTTTTCCCCTGGACTTCCACCTTTTTCTATTCCAGACATGCTGGCTGACCCTCTGGGCTACCCCCTACAGGACCCTGACCTTCAGCTGCTCCCTTGCAGCCAACAACAGTACAGCCCCGCCAACCTGCCCTTCTCCCTCTATGGCTCTCCACCCTCTTCCACCTCCTCTCCATCCTCCTCCTCCTCTTCGCAGCCCTGCCATCCTTCGTACCACTACAGCCCTCATTGCCTGGAGGCCCCCTGTGATCCCAGCCTTGAGCCCCACTGTGGGGTCCAGGCTCAGGGGCTCGGAGTGGTAGGACTGCCCCTGGGGCGGAGGACACGGGTGGTGTCGGGTGGGAAGAGCAGGGGTCAGGAAGAGCTGTGTGTGGTGTGTGGAGATAAAGCGTCAGGGTATCACTACAATGCTCTTACCTGTGAGGGATGCAAAGGTATTTCTCCCTTTCCAATTTTTTTAAAAATGATTTTCTCCATCGCTGTATGTACAAGCTAATCTAGAGAGGTTATATTTCAGCCTCACCTGGTCCTTCTTTCTCTCTACTTGTAGGTTTCTTTAGGCGTAGTGTGACTAAAAAGGCTGTGTATCACTGTAAGAGTGGCGGTGGCTGTGAGATGGACATGTACATGAGGAGGAAGTGCCAAGACTGTCGGCTGAGGAAGTGCCGTGCTGTGGGAATGCTGGCTGAGTGTAAGCGACCTCTACTGTGATTTAACTTAAAAGTATCCAATGGAGTATTCAATGCCTACTTAAACAATGTGCATTTAACTGATTTAATGCATCTTTTTTTTTTTCTCAGGCCTTCTGACAGAGGTGCAGTGCCAGTCCAAACGACTGAGGAAAGGTTGTAAAGTCAGAGGACATAAGGAAGAGGAGAACCCATACAGCAAGAGGGTCAGCTCTACCAGCAGGCTACCGGGGCAGGTAATAGAAAGCAGGGCCGAGCCAGTCTGACTGGATAAATGGCGGTTTGTTAGCCGTGCCAGTGGCATTGCCCTATAGCGATAGCAGTGTTGGTCTGTAGATTGAGCCATTCTGGTCTAGACTGAAATATCTCAAAAGCTGTTTCGTGGATTGCCATTACATTTTGATGACATTCATGGTCCCCAGAGGATGAATCCTACTAACTTTGGTGATCCCTTGACTTTTCCTCTTGTGCCACCTGTACTTTGTATGTAGTGCTAATTGACCCTTCACTAAGCCCGCTCGGTCAAGCAGTCAGAGCCACCATGGAGTCCACACTATCACTAACTGCACTCCCTGAAGGATTATTATCTAATATTTTGAAAAACAAAAAAGTGATTTCGGAGAGAAGCAGGTGGAAGGGTCTACAGTACAGTATCTGTTTAAAGGATGTCAAACTGACCCAGCAGTGAAAACAGGTTAAAAAGATGAAGATAGAAGCTAAATCCTACACATTACAGCAGGGGTCTCAAGCTCAATTTGGCTCGGGGCCACTGCTGGTATTGCCATCTCATAGGAGGGCCACTTTAACTTGCAAGTACTACAAGAAAGCGCAATATTTTTGAAAATTAGCTTTTTTATTTCCATTTCTAGCACATTTCCGTCAGACTTAACAAAAACAGGCAAACAGCAGTTTTTATATATTTTTACATTATAAGTTTTCCTTACATTATTCTAAATTACTTATTGAATACATTTGTACTTTATTCTATTTCCTGCCAGACAGCAGGCAGGGCGTTTTGTTGCCCTGATGGAGGTCAAAGTTGAAACCCTAAGTACAGCTTCAAGATGGGCATCACTAATCCTGGACCTGAACTTGCATTTGTTAAAGTTCAGTGTCGATTAAAGTTTCTCACACAGATACGTGCTTCCAAAAAGGCACAAAAGGCTTTGGACTGTTCTCCGTGTTTAGTTGAGTCATGATGCTTAAGATTGTATTCCTTTAAAACAGAGACTTTTTCTTTGTAAATCAGGCAAAGTAGCATTTCCATTAAACTCCACAAAAAATACTGCAATGTCCATCCTTCTTGAAATTGTCTGTGTTCATCATCCACTTTCCTTTTCGGTTTGGAAAGAGACATCTTTGTTGTTCGCAGCCAAACAACTAATAAAAAGCCCCGCGTGTAAACTGCTCTCTTCTTATCCAAAACTGCCCGGTCATGTGCGGTCACCTTGACCTTTGCCATTATTTTATGCCAAACTTAGTCATTGTATAGTATGTTACAAAAATGTCATAAAACATGTCACTGAAAAGTCCTAGTATAATATGTCATACCAAATGTCATAGTATAGTAATGACTTAAATATGTCATAGTATATGCCATAAAATGTGATGAAAATGTCATGAAAAGTCATAGTTTGTCAAACAAAAATGTCATAGTCATAGTATAAATTATGTCATTGAACTGTTATCATATATTGTGTCACAAACAATGTAAAAAGTCATAGTATAGTATGTCATAAAAAAACATCATAGGGTACTTTCTATCTCTTAGTTGTTACATGAGCAAGTTATATCATAATCCTTATACTGGTTTAACCAGATGTTAACTTTCATCTACCTCAGGCTTTGTCTGCCAGTTTAACGCGAGAACAGAAGTACATGGTGGACAGGATGGTGGAGGCCCATCAACTGTACAAAGCACAGGACAGCAACCACTGCAGGGTAGGTCACAGTGTGGAAACATCGGTTGTTTTTTCCAAAAACAGTTACATTTTTACATTGCCCTCATGGTTTCCTGTGTATGTCTGCTCAGTTGCTTGAGTGGTCGTGTATAGATGAAGGGGAAGGCATGTCTGATGTTGCGTCACCCCAACTGCAACGACTGCTGCAGTTTGCCAGGACAGTGCCAGGTAAGACTCATGGGAATATGTGACCTTCAGGATCTCTGATCTGTAATTAAGTACAAGTAGTTTTTAAATAACAAGGAAACGTGAATGAGATCAAAGAGAGGGGATTCAAATGGTTTATCCCATATGTGATACATGATAATACCACTTATAAATAAAGACTTCAAAGACACACTTGTTGGCATACTTCACTTGGGAAGTGTTGTAATTGGTTTCCAAATAGACAAATGGCATAATGATTATAATAAAAAAAAAACCTACAAGATGAATAGTCGAGTAGAATAAAGGACACACAGAACTACAATATGATATAGATGTACGTACTGCCATCCATCGGCATACCATTGTGTCTAGCGAGTGATGATGAGGCATACCAGGGAGTAAATACAAAATAGAACTTCATCAAATTCTGTGATATAACCTAGCTGTCACTCAAAGAACATCATGAAAAATCAAATAAACACAACATATATCCAAACAAATAACGATGTTCCCCTCACAGGCTTTGACCTCCTGGATTTTTCTGACCAGAGCTCTCTCTTGTCCGCCTCTTCGCTGGAGGTCATGTTCCTGCTCTCAGCACAGCAGTTCTCCCACAACCCAACAAGCCCCAGTCCAGGTGAATAAACCGACACACACACTTTCAATGGTCATACTAGCAGTCTAGTTCAGTTTGATTCATACTGTGTTTTTCTCTTGTATCAGCCCTACAGATTTTCAGTATGTCAACACACAACTGGTTGAGAAACGTAGAGTCAAAGGAAAACATCCACAGTAGGCCGCTGGTCAATTCAGGTGAATCCAGAGATACAGTCACTCTCAAAATATCAAACATTTCACAGGCTGTGAAAAAAAGCAATTCACGGTATTCCTAAAAAAATGAACAATTTCCTATTTGCTGGTGTGAACAGGAGGCAGCGAGGATCTCTTCGGGCCGGTGCTCAACTTCTTCCACAGCATGGCAACGCTGCGGGTGACGGAGGCAGAATACACCCTGCTCACTGCGACAGCTCTGCTCTGCTCAGGTCAGACACCAGGAATCTGTACGTTTGGTTAGAAATAAGAAAACAGCTTTCAAATTAAGACACGCAAATGCTCTATTCCTCTGTAAATAATCAGTATAAACCCATCTGGAGCTCTTCAGCAGGGTTTAATGGTAAAATGACGCCTCCGAAGGATTCACTTATAGTCTGTGTCAAAGGGTCTGACTTTATCAAGGCTTAGAATGGCTCTGTAACTTATCTGCTCTGTAGCAGGGGTTTTCATAGTCTGACATCTGCGCCAAACAGTAATTGTTTGGCGAAGTGAGTCAGTCAATGTTTGGATACAAACACAAACAAACAGATCCAGGCGTCACAACTCTGTGTCCCTGTTCTACAGACCGTGCGTCCCTGCAGGCAGCCAGCTGCGTTGAGAAAATGCAGGAACTGATCCTGGACCTGCTGTCCAGGGTGTGCGGGGCCCAGGCTGGAGCTGCGCGAGGGGGACCGCAGAGGTTTGGTCGCCTGCTGGGTAGACTGACAGAGCTACGAACCCTTCGTCACAACTACCTCCTCCTGACAAGACGGCAGCCTGGACACTGACACAAGAGGACACACCACAAATGGTGAAAACTACCACTATCATGTCGGGGGAGTTTCATGTTTGAATTGAAGGACTAGATGATCCGGTACGAGCTGAGCAGCGTTGGATTCTTTGGTCTCACACACCAGTCTTCCACCATGTTAACTTCGGTTCATTCAGTACTGCGGTCATTATTGAATTTTAGCTTACGATGGGACTGAAATGTGTTTGTGGATTGCTGTAATTTGTTTGGACAAAATATATTTTATCAGCCTTTTTTTTTTTTAATAAGTGTTGTTATGGCGTCACAACTAACATTTACAACTAACAATACTTTTCACAATGCCGAATATTGGTAAAATAAAAATGAAACGCAGACTGTGTGCTAGCTGGAGTTCATCAGTGGAAAAGGTGGACGTCACTTTCACCACACCTGTTAGCTGTTGTTGAGCTTTTAAGCCGATGGTCTGAATACTTGATGTAAAGCATTTAAATATTTTTCAAGTGATTAATACAAATTAATACTAGAATGAGAATTGATACTACCTTTGATTTAAAAAAAACATCAACAACATAAAACTGCAGTTTCCCAAAATGTTCAAAATGTGGAAATGCTATTGAGACTAAATATTTCTTAAAACATATACAGGTACAAGCTTACGGTATATTTTTCTCATTTGATAAAATTGGAGCTCTCGACAATAAATTGGATATTCAACAGTGAATGATGGCAGTTTGGTCTTGTGTGAAATCCAAACAAAACTAAATGTTTTTTAAAACCTCACTTCATTTGTTTTAAATATGATTTAATACTCAACTTTATCCAAAATAACTATATTTCTATAGTCCAAAAAGAGATCAAAAAAAGAAATTCAAATATCAAGAACAATTAGCTCATTATGCTGTATGCACCGGCCACTTTATTAGGCACACCTGTTCAATTTGCTTGTTAACACAAATAGCTAATCAGCCAATCACATGGCAGCAACTCAATGCATCTAGACATCTAGACGTGGTGAAGAGAACTTGCTGAAGTTCAAACCGAGCATCAGAATGGGGAAGAAAGGGGATTGAAGTGACTTTGAACGTGGCATGGTTGTTGGTGGGGGCTGGTCTGAGTATTTCAAAAACTGCTGATCTACTGGGAAATTCATACACAACCATCTCTAGGGTTTACAGAGAACGGTCCGAAAAAGAGAAAATATCCAGTGAGCGGCAGTTGTGTGGATGAAAATGCCTCGTCGATGTCAGAGGTCAGAGGAGAATGGGCCGAGTGGTTGGAGATGATAGAAAGGCAACAGTAACTCAAATAACCACTCGTTACAACCAAGGTATGCAGAACACCGTCTCTGAACGCACAACACGTGGAGCCTTGAAGCAGACAGGCTACAGCAGCAGAAGACCACACCGGGTGCCACTCGTGTCAGCTAAGAACAGGAAACTGAGGCTACAATTCGCACAGTCTCACCAAAATTGGACACTAGAAGATTGGAAAAACCTGGTCTGATGAGTCTCGATTTCAGCTGCGACATTCAGATGGTCGGGTCAGAATTTGGCGTAAACAATATGAAAGCATGGATCCATGCTGCCTTGTATCAACGGTTCAGGCTGGTGGTGGTGGTGTAATGGTGGGGGGGATATTTGCACACTTTGGGCCCCTTAGTACCAATTGAGCATCGTTTAAACGCCACTGAGTATTGTTGCTGACCATGTCCATCCTTTTATGACCACAGTGTATCCATCTTCTGATGGCTATACTTCCAGCAGGATAGTGCACCATGTCACAAAGCTCAAATCATCTCAAACTGTGTTTTGAACATGACAATGAGTTCATTGTACTCCAATGGCCTCCACAGTCACCACATCTCAATCCAATAGAGCACCTTTGGGATGTGGTGGAACGGGAGATTCTCATCATGGATGTGCAACTGACAAATCTGCAGCAACTGCGTGATGCCATCACCTCAATATGGACCAAAATCTCAACACTTTGTTGAATCTATGCTACGAAGAATTAAGGCAGTTCTGAAGGCAAAAGGGGGTCCAACCCCCGTACTAGCAAGGTGTACCTAATAAAGTGGACGGTGAGTGTATGCACACACACACACACCCCACCATTGCCCTCTACAGGTAGTTGGACACGACAAAGCAGTGATTGCGGCTGACTCGGCACTGGTGGATCATGGCGCTGTTGTACTCCACCTGGACAGACTTACGGATGCTGGACTGGCGGCCTTATGCGACCTCCCATTATGCGCAGCTTGTCCGCTGAGTCGGTTGCACTCAAGGGTGTCACCTTGTCATGTGGAAGCCACTGCCTAGAGTACTAAAGATAGAGATTGAAGATAACCACTTTCACTGCTTTAGACCGGTTTGCATGATTCAGACCTACAATGCCTATAAAAAGTATTCACCCCCCTTGCATGTTTTCCCCTTTTATTGCTTTTATACATGAAATCATGGTCAGAATAAATTGGCTTTTGTTGACAAAAGCTTCTTTCATGTCAAAATGAAAACAGATTTTTACAAACTAATGTAAATTAATTAAAAATATATAGTGTAAAATAAGTGTTTGCATAAATATTCACCCCCTTTAAAGTGACAACCCTAATTCAACAGAGGTCCAGCTAGTTGATGCCAGCAGTGTCACAATTAGTGAAATGGAGATCACCTGAGTGCAGTTGATGTGTGTCAAGTGATTGTAGTATAAACACACCTGTGTCTGGGAGGTCCAGTCTCTGGTTCATCAGTATTCCTGCTACAATTGCAACATGAAGACAAAACACTCCAAGCAACTCAGAGAAAAGATTATTGAAAGGTATGTCAGGCGATGGCTACAAAAAGATTTCCACTGGTTTCTAAACTGAGAACACATTTAAGGATTTAAGGGGATGTATCAAACAGAAAAATGCTAAAATAAATCTAAAAGTTGTCTTACCTGCACAGTTATCGTCCAACTCCCCTCAGCAGGTGCTCCTCCTCGATTGGCAGATGACTGAGGGCCTTTTTCAGGCTCTTCTGTTGTCCACGATTGTAGTGATCCAGTAGTTTAGTTCGCCAGCAATATTCATATCCAGTATATTTTCTTAAACAGTGTAAAACTCAATGTTTTCTATTTGTCAAATATATTTTTTATTCTTCAGTTTTAACATTCAGTACAGCTACAAGTTGTAAACCTTACACAACCCGTCTCTGCAAAAGTTATTGTAATGCACCAAATTGGGCAGTGTCTCATAACAGAACAGATCTATTGAACACTGAAAGCCAAACTGGACGGTAAATTAGATAGACTTTGTTATCAGGCAATATTGTAGATTATAATTATGTTCTCGCTGTGATTAATCACACAGCATTTTAAGCGCTATCTTTACTTTCTTGTTCTTGGGTAACTACATGCCTGTAGTTGTGGAAACATAAAAAAGTAATCTTATAAGTTACTGCTGCGTGTGTTGTCCTTGCAGCTCTGCAGGTTTGTGTTGAACAAGGTGCACTGCGCATGGGACTGGACTGCTTAAAACTCCTGTGCCAGCAGTCGAAGATGGAGGCCTCTGGTGTTGGGACTGCTCGTCTTGCTGCCTTTCAACCGAGGATTTTGTATTTTCCTGTTTTCATGTTAATAAATCGCATTGTTTTTTTTTTATTTTTATTTTTTTTTAAAGGGCGTCTTCTGTGACTGATTTGGCGAGTTATGAATCTGTACGCTTGGTCTAGAATAAGCCAATCAGCTGTCAAGAAAAGACATGCACAACCTCTATGCATCTGTGAATGATCAGTATAAACCCACCTGGAGCTCTGCAGCATGTTTTAATAGTCAAATGACACCTTAATGATTCACTTAGTTTGTGTCAAAGGGTCTGACTTCACTTAAAATGCAGTCTGACAACTTCACTCATGCGACACGTATACTGTATGTTTGCATACAAAGTGTTTTTTATCTGATTTAGATCAGACTGTGTTGGACTGTTCGGTCTCACACACCAGTCTTCCACCATTTTCTCGGTTAACTTCAGTTCTGCAGCCATTATTGGATTTTAGCTTGTGATGGGACTGAAATGTGTTTGTGGATTGCTGCCGTTTGTTTGGCCAAAATATATTTTTAGGTCTTTTCTATGACTAAACAGCTAACAGTACTATTCACCACGCTGAACGTTGTAAATAAAACACAGACTGTGCTAGCTGGAGTTCATCAGCGGAAAAAGAGAATTTTCTGACTGAAAACCTGCGACATCACTTTCATTTTTGAGCTAACGTTCTGAATCGTTGCTTGTAAAGCATTTAAATATCTTCCAAGTGATCGTGATTAAATAACACTGCACAATGGCTGTTCTCATCTTTGGTTGTGAAAAGAAAAAAACAAAACTGCAGTCAAGTATCCCAAAAGTCTTTTAATAGAGCATTGATTTCCCAAAATGTGGAAATATTTGTTTTGACAATATTTGGTGAGCAGGTAAAATATGCAGGTATTACAAGCTTATAAAGGTGTATTTTTCCATTTGATAAAATGGGGCTCTCGACAATAAATAAAATATTCTGGGGGTCAACAGTGAATGATGGCGGCTGGTCTTCAGTAAAATCACCACCAAACCAAATGTGAACTTATGTTAAAATGTTGGCCGCATGTCTTTTTAAACTTCACTCCATTTGTTTTAAATAAGATTTAATTCTCAACTTTAACCAATATAACTGTATTTATATATCCCATAAATAAAGTATTTCTCTGTATCAAAAAGAGAATTCAAATATAAAGAACAATTGGCTCATTGTGTTGTATGCTCTGAATGCGCGCGCACACGCACACACACGCACTGCAGCAAGTCAGGAATCATTTCGTCTCCACAGATACACACAGCCTCGCTTTGCCCCTTGTGGGTTGATTGAAATACGCATTTTAAAAACAGCAACATTAAATTAAAAATAGATAAAACATATGTACACAAAGTGTGCCTTTATAATATACAAGTGTCTTTGTAAAAGATTAAAATGTAAAAAGCTATTGTATAAAAGATGGCAGTGATCCATTCATTTGTCTTCTGCGTTTCATATAAATAGGACAAATCTCTTTTCTGACAATTTGATTCCTTGGCAGTAGCATTAAACGAAACGGAGGGAAATTCTTTTACATTTGATCCAGACACACGGCTTCAACACATCCAGGTGGAGGAAGCAGATACCTCGATACACCCCTGAACAGGGATTTAACGCTTACCGACCGCAGCACCGTGGGACCTCAAGGTAACTTCATTCACATCCAGAGCTCCATGACGACACAAAGGCAAACAAACAGCCCCGCTCTGTGTTTCAGACACTAGTGGTTTGGTAACGAACTACAGTCCAGGACTCCGTGCTGTGCAGAAGCCTCTCTTTAGACCACAGCGTGAATACAAATTAACAACTCGCAGTAGGACCACACCTGCTGCTTTAGGAACCAAACAGAAATGCATAGTGGCTGACTGTGGGCGCGCACAGGGCTCACACAGGGCTCACCGCTGCCCTCTACAGGTAGTTGGAGGCGACAAAGCCGTGGCTGTGGCTGACTCGGCTCTGGTGGATCATGGCGCGGTCGTACGCCACCTGCACAGACTTGCGGATGCTGGACTTGCGACCCTCCATTATGCGCAGCTTGTCCGCTGTGTCGTCGACACCCAGGGCTGTCACTTTGTCCCGTGGGAGCCACTGCCTGCAGTACCAAAAACACAGATGACCACTTTCACTGCTTTAGACCTGTTTGCATCAATTACAATATATAAAACTACACTCATTTTATTTAATTCTAATCATTGTGATCCTCCTTGACTGGACATTTCACCCAGCTGAAATGCAGTCTGACCTCATGGTGGATATCAGGTACATTTGAGCGTGTCAGTTTGTCCCTCACCATGTCCGCTTGTTGTCAAAGAAGAGCACCAGGTAGAGCCTCTCATTGGTCTCCTCCTGCCTCTGCTCCCCCAGACAGAGGACCTCTTTGGGTGGGACAGGGATGGGCACCCCGTTGTGCAGCATGCCCTCCTCGGGCATCTCTGGGTCGATGATCTGAAACCAACACACAGTCAAGTCTCGCTGGAAATTTAGGTCTGTTTCTAGCACCGCACTCTCACACAGCTGGTCTGCGGTCTTAGGAAACTCCGTATTTATTAGATGGTGCTTCATAAACATTTAGAAGAATAAGGGACTACCAGAGCAGGATAGGAGGGATATCCCCGACACTTCGCCCACACCAGATCTAGGGACTCCAGCTCCTTCCCAGCCTCAGTCCTTAGGCTGCCGTTGCCTGCAAAACAGCAGCAGACGGTGAAATGATTTTATGAATAAGAAGAAAACGAATGGGACATACACGCATTTCCAATGAGGTTAGAGTGTCTGATGCTTAAGAGACATTTGTGGGGAGAAGAGAGAGAAAAGAGGATAACAATGGTACGACTGCTATTTAAATTCATGTGAACTTAGACATTTTTAACAAAACAAACAAGAAAAAAGCATACCAGTATAATCAGAGTCTCCATTGACTATCTCCAGAAAGGGAACTTTGGAAAGAGCTGGTTTCCCAAGGCTTCTTTTGGGTGGCGAGCTACTGTAAGACAATGTCATTGTCAATGAATTGTCAATCATTACCATAATCAAACAACCACCGACAACGGATGCACCATGTCTTACATTTCTTTGTGCAGGACTGGACAAGGGCTGTACTCGGAGTCAGACCCACCGTCTTTGTGCTTGTTGAAGCCGTTGGTCAGTCCTGAAAGCAAGTGAGAGAAATCTCAGAAGAAAATGAATAAAGACAAATTGAAGACTGCTCTTTCATCTCTTGAAGGAGAGGGATGAGAAGTACAGCACATTCTAACAATTCCCTATGTGGACACATCCGAATGAAGGTCTTCAGTGCCACAGGTAGTCAGTTCTAAGTAGCTCTGGGTAGAGGATCCTAAACTAATGCAAGTAACTACATAAAGCCTCTCACCACTTTCCAGTGTATGATTTGGTGTCTTCTCCAGCTCACTATCTGAGCACATGTACCGACTGGGGGTCCATTGTTCATTGAGGGTGGGGGGTCCGGGGCTTTTCTGTGGGGTCTTCGATGGAGTGGACACAGGTGTTGAGGATGGGGTACTGGCTGTGGAGTTGGGCACTGTCGGGGTGTTGCTTGAATTGTGGTCCTGCTGCTCCTTTCCGTTCAGCAAAGGATTGTCTCTCTCTCTGAACAGCTTAGCGCCATTTTTTGCCTTTTTGAATAATACAGAGGTTCGTCGTCCGACTCCGGTGGTGGGCCGCGGAGGAGTGCTGAGCTCCGGCAGGCCGTTGGTCACCGTCGGTCCTTCGCTGTGCAAAATGGGGGGCGGCGACACCTGCCGCTCCTGTGGTTTAGTGCAATTCGTGTTCGCTGTGGCGAGGTCTGAGAGGTCACCGTCCATCTTTAGGCGTTTGCAGGGCCAGCTGGGGGACTGGCGCTCCCCTGTGATTGGCCGCAGGGTGGGAGGTTCCAGAGGTGCGTCCCCGCGTCGTGGAGGAGGGGCTGGCCCAGTCGGTTCCAGTGTCGGGGGCGAAGTGGATTTAAGGTCATCTGGAAGAGGAGAAAAATTCAATTCAATTTCACTCAGCGTGCATTTCAAACGGATGTCCATTTAGTATGTCGTGTGATGTGGTGGTGTAGTATTCACACTGGAATATGGTGTCACTTCAGAATGGGTTACACTTTAACCTGCTCAAAGGGAGTTGAGGTATTCTACAGATATGGAGGACCTTATCTAGACGAGTGAATAAATAACTTTCCTCTCACAACTGTACACCAGCAACATGATAACATGGCAGCATTTTAAGACTCAACTGACACAAATCGCAGGTATTGTGCTGCGCACCTCTACAGTAGCAAGAGACTGTTTGACTGGACTAGCCTGGAGTCAGAAGTGGGATGACATGGCATGACTGTACGTGGCCAATGGAGAGTGGTGAGTCCATGAGAGTGATGTACAGAAGAGGTGCAGACATAGAGTGCACTGGGAGAGAGGAGTTGTGAGGCAGCCATGGCTAACGAGACTCTGTGGGCCCCTACTTACTAGACTGGAGACAGTGGGGTGGTTGGGGTTGGTGCGTGGGGGGGACCCTGGCTCAATTACCTGAGGACAATGTTCCGTTAGCTCATGTTCACAACTGGTCTCATAGAAAATAGAGGCTTTTAAAAGGTTTATGCATTGGCAATTTCATACTGTTGAAATGTCAGCGCTTCTCATCACCCACCTTTGTCCGAAGGCGACAGTCCGTTGTCTGCCTTGGCATCTTTGTCGTCATCCTCCTCCTCCTCCTCCTCCTCCTCCTCATCATCGTCGTCTTCCTTCAGATGTCCATTATGAAGGCTGAAGCGGTGGTGTTGGCCCTGCCTGTAGCGGATGTTGTTGATCTCGCGACGAAGCAGGCGGATCCGTCGAGTCCGGGCGCCGCTGCATCGCATGGAGGAGACAAAGTCCATCTTCTCCAACAGCTCCTTCAGCTGTTCCTCCACCGTCATATGAAGCCGGTTGTCTGGATCCAGCACACTGTCAACTGGACACAACAAGAAGGGGTTAGGCTAATGTTTCACGAAAGTACAACAAACATGAATTTAATACTGATATTTAATTGAACAGATTAGTTGACGAGCAACAGCCCAAGAGTAAATGCTCTTGCGAACGAGAAATTAGATCCTGCCTCTGCTCTCAAGAAAAGAGAGCAGAACATAGTGCTGTCGATTTTTTCCACAAAGGCCAGTCAAATTAATTGATCATGAACCAACTCACAACTGCCAGAGCTTTACTTTCATCACTTCAGTTTGTCATGCACACCGTCCACAGACAGCAACAGAGTTACATCTACATGGTGTTAAACTAGCAACACAATAGTACAGGGGTCACTAATAGGCGGACCGCAGTCCGGATCCGGACCCAGACGACGTTGTATCCGGACCCTGGACCAAAAAAAAACCGATTTTATTTTTGACGGAGCGCTTCAATAGTAACCGGTGCAGCTTTTATAGCCTTTACGGTACGCGTTCAGCGGCCAGGAAACACACCGACCAATTACATGCGTTATAAATATTCTCACGTGATGCTACTCTACTAATCAAATATGTGTATTCTGATCAACTTTCCGTCATAAAATGAGTGTTACGCGAGGACAGAGAAGTTATTTCACGTGACGTTCTCTAAAAAGAGGAATGTGGATAGCGAGACCAGAGGGACCAGAGTCTTTAACCATGAATAGACGGACTCGTATCTGTTAATTCTTCCCTTTGTATTAATCTCAAATACAATTTCTCTTTTTAGAAGATGATGAAAATATAATATTGTGGCTTTTTTGGGTGACATGACTTCACTGAATGAACTGAATTTAAAGCTGCAGGACAATTCAGTTCAGTTAATCTTTCTTAAATGAAGTACTTTATTTTAAGATGCACATTTTTTAATCCATTCCTTATTTTACTTGAAATGAGAGAAGATCATTTATTTATTATTAGAGTATGTATGTATTATATTTCATCCAGTTCAATACTTAAAAACTGACAATAAATATTGTTGAGATATTATTCAGTTGTTGACTACATATAGACATTAATACAACTGTTGGCTACTTCAATATATTGGAATAAATCATTGCGCAAGTGAGACATTATTGTGATGTTCTGGACCTTTGCTTGAGGAAATACTCTCTAAATGGACCTCGTGAATTTTAATTGAATTCTCCTGCAATAGTAGATACAAGAGTCAGAGAAACACCTACATTGATGTAGAACAAACAAAACCAAAACAAATTCTTCTTCTTCTTTTTTATAAATAGTTCTCAAAAATGATGACCCAGTTAAATATATATTAGCCATCCCTCTCCTGCCAAATCTCACACCTTATTCAAATCCATCACTTCCCAGAAGAAAATGTCAGACTCCACTACACACAGAACAGCCTGAAATCTCAACATATACTAAATAAGACATGCAACCACCCTGTTTACTGGTGACCACACTATTCTGCTGTCAAGCATTGTCGCTGACGTTCATGCTATTTGCAGAAACAGAACATGAAGAACATTTCATATTATTATACATATTCTCAGTTGGTTTCAGTGAAAAAAGCACCCACAGCCCATATTTATACACAAACTGTAAACATTTTTAGAGAGGGGGCATTTGGTTCTCATTTAGCACGTAAAGGAAAACCTTACCCACAAAATGACCAGTCATGTTCTTGAAGAAAACTCTATTTTTCTCCAATGCCTCCATGGTGAACGAATAATCAAAAAACGTAAAAAAAAAAAAAAAAGTTGTGATGAATTGAAATAAATGGGGCTGTTTAACAACGGCAAAACTATATCAAAACATCCGTTTACAAACTCTCACACAACTCGAGCAGAATAGTCAAAGTCTCATTTATCCAGTAATATTCTCACTACTTCCCAAATGCAGCTTTGCAAAAACTTTACTATTTAAAATGAGCATAAACAGTCTCACACGTGCGCAGAAAAGCTACTCTTCCGTGTGAGTCCGGACGAATCCCGAATGATTTACAAGGCTTTAACGAAGATGCATGTGATAAATGAGACTTGGATTAAACTGCAAGAGCTGTGAGAGCATTTGTAAACGGATGTTTTGATATAGTTTTGCTGTTTAATGAATGCTTCAATTCTTTTCTTATTCTCTATTCACCGTGGAGGCAGGAAAAACTAAGTTTTCGTCACAAAATCACAGTAACAGGGTGAGGAGTAATTGATATACAAATGGTAATTCCTTTCAAACAAAAAGAGCTGAAATAGTAATAATTTCTATTCAGGTATTCGCAGTCACAACTCACACTTTAATTCATGTTCAACAAACAAAAAATAGCACATATCTATTTCAGTCCCATTGAACCACCTTTGAGTTGCAGTGCATTAATGTATTATCGTTGAAATAGAATCATAACAAAATATTTACAAAAAGTTTCTTGATTGTACTGAATCATTTACCATGCTTCTAAATCATATAAGAGGGATACACACAGACCCCTATCTAGAGTAAAACAGGTGTGCGTGTGTTCACATTTCCTGTCGAGTACCACAGGGTGACTTACCGTCCTCCCAGGTGCAGCTGTAAAAGGCTCGTTTCTGCGGCGACTCGGAGAGATGCATGCCAGTGTTCAGGTCCAGGCCGGTGTTGGTGGCTTGGCGCTGTGCATGGCGCAGCACGGCTCCCCCCAAGTCTCTAAGGCGCAGCGCTAATCGGTGGAAGACGGTGTCCTTGCTGTTGTAGAGGAGGCAGTTGGACACCATCAGGTTGAAGTCGGTGTCCAGGTCAGCCACGGAGCGGTAGGCATGACTCTCCAGCTTAGCGCGCATCGTGGAGAAGTCCATGGGCTGGCTGATGAACTCCAGGTAGTCGGGGACCTGAGGACAAGAAAACATAACTCTAAAAGTTCATGAGGAGAAGGGACACATATAGGCAAATAAAATACAAATTAGTAAAAGAGTAACAAAACTGGACAGATTATAAATTATACATAGAGGAGGTGCTGTTTCGGTTGCTCTGGTTCCGCAAGTAGAAATCCAATTAATTTCTCTCCCCACAGACACTTTGCCAGCTTTGATGGGCATGAACCTCTTTCAGTTAAATTATCAATACAAAGGATTACAATCTATATAAGAAAAGATCAGTTTTTTTTGATAAAAAAGTAAAAAGTATAAGCCTGTGTACATAGAAACTTTGGGGGCAGGTTAACTACGCTTCCCAAGGTGCATTTTGGCAAGAAATATCACATCACCTCGCTCTAAAATCTGTCATGTGCACCTCTCACAGCAGGCAGGACCTAAAGATTATGCTGTTGGGGAAACATATTTCAACTATGAAGCCCTGTTTTCTTCATAATTGCAATGATGTTGTGCTCTGAATTTTGCTACACCCCTGATTTGAGCCTCTGACTGGCTTCTTCTCCACAGCAACAGCAGCCGAGGCTCATGGGTATTTTAGTATTTAGAGTCGTCGGACAAAACCAGATTTCTCAGAAAATACAGTGAAATAAACAATAACTGGTGATAACAACAGCTACCTATAGGGTCTTTACATTGGGAGATTCCCAAGTTTGACTCAAGTAACACTGAGCATATCATTTAAATAAATTGGAAAATGGGAAAAAACACTTCCGGTGCCAACAGGCCCTCCAGCTTAACTCCATAGAACCAGTTTGCATACATCTGGTCTCTGGCAACTGGGGTTGGAACAGTGAGTGTCTCACCTCCTTGATGTTGACTGGCTCTGTAAAGATCTGGGCTGTGTCCTTCTCCTGTAGTTGGTCCAGAGTGGAGCGGAGCAGCACCAACATTGGGGTCAACTGCATCTCCAGAGCTTCCTGGTGAACTTTGACCTGCAGAGGATATGCATGTGATGTCACCATACGTGGAAGTTGCAGCCATACAAATTTCAAAGGAAAGTTTTTGCAGACTTCCAAGAGGCTAAAGGGAAGAGAAAAGTGTGACCATTCAAACATCTCAGATCTTCAGACTACATTGGTGAACGCCTTACAATTTGAAACACCCATAATTTATGTACTTTGGATCCTCAAAAGTTCAGATTTGAAATACTGCATTCTGTAGAACTGCAAACATTAAATCGATTAATTGTCAACTATTAAATTAACAACAACGAAAATAATCACAGTATTCTGTACCCTTCATAAGATCAAAAGGGTAAAGGATGAAGTTAAAAGCATGAAAATGAAATACAGTAAGTCGCCACCTTTTTGAGCCTGTGAGATTCCTCCCGTGTACATTACCTGTTCTCGTTTGAGTTTCTCTCTCTTGCGGATGAGCTCCACCAACAGCCTAGCTTTCTCAAGATCATGCCGCAGCTTCTGCCAATATCTCAGAGCTTCTCTTGCAGCAGAAGCCTTCTCATCCACCTCAGGCTACAAAGAACAACACATTTTTTGAGAGGTATTGTATTAACACTTTATCGGATGTATCTAAAGGCAATCAATTCATTTTAGAAATTGTTTGGGAGGACAATGGCTAAATAACGTCACAAAAAATGCTATCATCAGAGAACAAAAATAGTCAGAGAGCCAAGACCGTAGAAAGGTTTCCTACCATGATCTGTTCAGTAATCCTTTGGGTTTGGATGCTAGAGATCAGACGCCGGACCAGCGGCACACCGCTCCTTGACTGCCGCTTCAGTAACCAGTAATAATGCAGCCTATGCATGAACGGTTTCTTTCTCTGAAAGACGATTCCTTTACAGATGATATTCAGCCTGTACAACAGAGATAGATGCAGGTTGGTCTTAGTGTCAACATAACCAACATTGGTCCAGACATTTCCACAAGAAGACTGTTACTTGTAACTGTACACTTACTTAAATTGGTCAAAAATCGTTTGGTTCAACAACAGATGCACAGCATTTTGTTATATTCAAAACAAAATAAAATCTAACCTGCTTGTGGGTATCTGAGCCACTATTACTTGCGGTGAAGCCGTGTGTTGTTCTGTTGACTCGGAGCCCCTCTTCCCTTTCTTTTTACCCAGCTTGGCACCATCTTCAGACTTCCTGCCTTTTTTCGGTGTTATAGGGCCCTCTGTGTAGGCACTCCGTCCTCTGCTGGCCCTCCCTCGGCTGCCCACCACTCTCCCTTCACTCTCCTCATCTGAGACGGCCTCTTGTCCTGGTGGTGAATGGGCCTCACAGAATGCTGTCTTTTTCACAGAGAATGTAGTCCCATTAACGTTTGTCTCTCGCACAGGATCAATCTTCATAAACAGGCCTGCACGCTGAGCACATGTGACGTGAAACGCAGTGTAACAGTTGGCCTTGTGGCACTGAATTGATGCGCCACGGCCCTTCTGCTTGCACAGGTAGCAAGTCAATTTCCAGCGTGCCGTGGGGATGTTACTGACCCCTTCCACTGGTTCCAGAAACACTGTGTTGGCAAAGCAGACCTCAGGGATCCAAATGGCACACACGACATGTGCCCAGCGGCCGTCACTCGTTTGTTTGAAAGCGCCTCCACGGTTCGGACATAGAACACAGTCAACAGGTTTCTGAGGGGATTGAAGGCAGCAGCGGCACAGCCATTGGCCCTCAGGGATGTATGGTACACCATAACACTCCTGGTGGACGGCCAGGTTGCAGGAGTCACAGAAAAGGATGACATTGCTGTTGAGGCACTCATCATCCAGGCACACGCAGCAGAAGGCATCGTCGTCAATAGCACTTTGAGAGGGTGCCCGGCTGCGGGCTTCCCGGTACGCCTCCTCCTCCAGCCGGTCTACCAGCAACTCAAAGTTGTCTGGTGTGACAGCTGAGTAACCCTCTGACGTCCGGCCAGCATTGACCATCTCCAGCCAGGCGGTGTCTTCATCGTCCATGTCATATTCTGCCTCAGCTTCCTGCTCCTCAGCTAACCGCTCAATGTAACGGTAATATCCCGCGGGCAGAGGAGGTGCTTCGACTGGCGTGAAGGTTTCTAACACATGAAACTTAGGTTCAGGGAGGGTCATGTGCTGATGGTGTGATTCGTTAAACTTTTCAGGGGATGGGGGATGAGAATTGGGGCAGCGGTTCTTGGAAGGTGGTGGCGACTTGACAGGAGGGCATTTGGAGTCTTTCCTGCGGCCCCGGGGCGTGATGGGTTTGCGGACAGTTTGAGCACTGCTGGTGGGAGGTGATGACTGCTCACTGTTCTCCTTGTTGCTGTTACACTCAATAATGTCCTGAGCCATCATCTCATCTTCAGTAATAACCTCCAAGGGTTCTAGAATAGAAATGCGATGAAGCCTACCATCTAGTTCCACCTCTACCACCTTCTGGGCCTGGGAGTAAGACAGGGTTTCTCTGGTTGGAGATGCTTTGAGACTGTAAGGGGATGGGGATCGCTGCCGGGCCCCCCCACGCCCGCCAACTGTCCCACGCCTGCCAACTGTCCCATTGGACTTCCTGACATCAGTTCCATCTCCTGCGGCCACCTGGCCTTTTCGACGTGGCTTCCTCATAAGCCACCAGTCACACTTTACCTCCTGTTGGTATAATAGGAAATAAAATAAGAGAAAATGGTGTTGTAGACTGTAAATAATAATAAATATACAAATTTGGTGGTGCTACAGTGAAATGTTATGCCATAATTCCACTCTTGCTGTAGTATTTTGTTGTTATCGTTTGCTTCTGTTATCTTGATTGTGTATTAATCTCCTATTCTTATCTAGCTAGATGTATTGGACAAGCCTCACTTCTTCTTGGGATCATTATAGATTTACAGGACTAAGCTAAATCGAATGCTTTTGCTGTAACAATGCAATGACACTAGGGTCTGAATAGGCTTAAAATGCTCAGTCAAAGCATCCCTATCTGTGCGTTGCATTTAAATGCAGTGTTATTCGGCATGACTATGGTAACTATCACCTGTAGTGTTAACATTCCTTCACACACCTCAACTCGCAAAACTATAATTTACTCAGTGTAATTAGGTAAATGCGTACACCAACGTATTGACAGCTAACGGACACAAAATGAGGGTCACTCCTCACTGTCAATAGATACACGGCAAGAAAAGAAAAATGATTCTCGACTTTATCTCACTGTTGGCAACTAGCTACTATCAGTGCTAGACTCAACCACAGCCGAATAACGACACAAAGGGCACATCCAATCAGCGTTCAGGAAGGCTTGACTGATCCACCCGAGAACCAATCAGCTTTAAGGATACCAGATCAGAGTCATTATTTCGGGAGTAAAATGTCAGCCATATTTACAGTTTTAAACACAACTAAAAGCTCTTCTTCGGATACAATTTAAATTACAGTTCTGTAAATGAATGCTATAGCGGTGCTTTATCTCTTAATCTTGTCAAACGGGATGAGAAAGGCACAGCATTGTAACAATGCTCGTATCTTGACATAAAAGTACAGAGAGAAGTAGCATTAGTTAACGTTACAGATATCACGAGCTAACCTGCTAACTTTAAAAGATAGGCAGAACTAACTTCAGCTGTTGTATTTTAACGTTGACAATGAGCGGAACAGGTTGCCATCTTCAAAATAAATAAAGAGTTCTGAGCCACTCTATAATAAAGAAATAGTACGTAGCAAACTTAAGGCATCTTACCTATTATGGCAACTGACTGACACAGGTAGCTCGACAGCCGGCGGTCTGAAGCCGCTTCTACAGTAATGGTTGCCCAGCCAGCCGCCTCACTTGCTGTACTCTCGAAGCTAACTGCTACCAGCAAGCTACAGTTTTCTGGCACAACCGGTATATTTCGCTATTTTATACCGCTTCCGTTTCTTCACAACAAGGCGGTTGGAGGGCAAGCAGTCACACCCAAAGGTTTACTGAGAACACAGGTGATATATTTGCATTAATAATATGAGAAACATCTCATTATCGACTAAATGTTGTGAGAAGGAGAAATGCTAGCAGTTTGGAGTCCTGAGTATGTGCTAAATCGATACTAGCCCGAGTAAAAACATAGAACTTCCGGATACATGTTTCAAAATAAACTCCTTATTAGGGCAGTGTTTCAATGTGTCACAATTAATAAGACTCTGAATTAAATCGTATGTTCCCCCTCTATCACCATTTCCTGTTGTAACACATTTTCTTGAGATGTTTGATCCATTCCAAACATAGGGCATATCATTTTCAGTGTTTATTTTCTCCTGGGGTATTCTTCAAGAACTTACTTAGAATAATGGATTGGAATGGGAAGCTTGACTTTCAGTTTTGATTGATCATATAGCTGTGCAAAATTAGTTGTCATTCTACATATATTTATATCATTAAATGTTATTTTATTTTGACGACAAATTAGCTCACTTCCGCTTTCATGGTAGCCTGTGAGCTAACGTTACCTTGATAGCAGCAGTTTGATACGTTTAGCCCGCCCCTTTGACGTCACCACGTCATGATTTTCGCGCGCAAGCGACTCAACAGGGCCAATGATAACTCTTAGTACAGCTTTATGCATTCTAAATGTGTAATTTTCAATCAAAATCAGCAAACTATAACTCTGAACTACATGTGGAGTGGAAATTTCACACCTGTTCTGCAATAAACATGTGCGCACACATGCATGCTCATGAAAACTGTTTATTCTTTCAATTTACACACATGCACACCCTCGCCTACTCAAGAGTGTGTCAGACCAGTATTCTATTTTATGGTATAACATGTTTGAAATTAGTGTCATGGTGGGTAGCAAGTGCAAATAGATGACACAATAAATTAAACAGCACAACCTTACAGCAGCCTCTAAATGTACCAGCCCAGTCAAGTACATATTCAAAGGCTGCTACATTCTGGAAAGATCCACAAGAGTTGGGCATACAATTTGGTGCAAAAAAGAATTTATGATATACACAGCATATCAGACTTTAAAGTTGTGAAGTATGGAACCACAAAGTCATACAAGCAGAGACATGAATAAATCAATCAGTTGGGGTCTTTGTTGGTCAGGGGTTTTCAGGGCATTCATTGGCAAATCCTAAACTTTTCCCCCTGATGATCATTTTAATTTGATAACATAAAGATGACATTTTCACCTCAACACTGCATTGGTTTTCATGACAAGAGATTATACTTGACTATCAGTTAGGCCTGTCTTTCTTGGGCAGCAACATGTAATATTTGCTATAAAAACAGAACTTTGTACACATCTTGTCTTATTATTTAATTGAAAAGCCACATTACAGTAAATTCTACAGTAAACTCTGTGACATTCACTCACAATACATTTGCAAGACAATATACTGATAGGGAATGTGTATCATGAAGAGAAATCCACACTTAGGGAACAATTGCACAAAACAAAAGGTGTGTCAGTTTTGATATAATCATTCTTCACTATCCATGATAAAATAAACAGAGTGAATCCATGGTTGGAATATACAAGGGCACCATTGGCAATATGCTGGGGTAGGTTGGGGCATCAGTAGTTACAAGATATTGATCAGGTCACGGAGAAATAGTCAGGGTGTGTTTCCTCTTAGAGTCCCGCCGTGGGAACGGCACAAAGCTTCCCACCTCTCTAAAGCATAACCCTGTGGGCAAAAGGGGAAAAACATTTGTTTTCCGCTTGTGCTGCATGTCCACAACTCCAATACTAATTTAAACAGAAAGCCATTAAAGGTGTATTACTTTATAACATTAATTATTAATTACCACATTAACAGAAGCCCTGCAGCAGGATGTTTGTGGAGTTATAAATCATTCTATATGGCCAACATGGTAAACACTTGAAGAAAAGTCCACTTTAACCATTTCAAAAGCATGATAATAATACAGTTCCAATGTTTACTATTTCCACTATGAGACAACCTTATTACTTCTGTTTCTATCGTTCTCATATAACACAGGAATTGTTTTTAGAAAGTATCTATTCTAAAAAAAAGTTGTAAAATGAGACCAGAACTGGTACTATGACATATAGTTTCTGTGAGATCTGTAAATGACAGGTACACACACACAAGACGTGTATATATACACTACTCAAACCTGAACATTGATTATATTATGGCTCATTGTTTTTTGCTTACGCTTCCACTCATCCAGGGTCAATGTGGCGTTGTCATGGCTGTCATCGTACGATGCAGGCTCAGGTAAGTCCTCTGTGTCCCTGAGGCTGTCGAAATATGGGTGCTCCAGAGCTAGCTCAGCTGTGGGTCTCTCGTCTCCGTCCAGAACCAGCATCTTCTCCAGCAAGTCAATACCTGCAAACAGTCAGTGGAACAAAATAAAGCAACGATTTGATCAAACATAAAAACATCAAATTGTACAATGTTCAATGTTTAAAACACTTTTACTGACATTAGCCATATGGATGGTTGCTGCGAGTGTTTCAGAAGCAGAAGATTGAATTATGTGTAGTCCAAAGTACTATTTGTTTTGTGCCTATTTTGCTGTTTCCAAAAGTTACAAAACAAATTTCTGCTATTGCCGGATACATAAAATGTACTACTTTGAGAATTTCTCCTGTTGTTAATCTACTTGAAGCTTTCATGAACAGGGTGCAAAATAAGTCACTGCAGTGTTAATTCAGAAAAGGAAAGTAGCAAGATGAACATTATAAGCAAAGGAAAAATGATTACTTCAACAACAAACGATTGCTGCTGTGGTGGACCAGTACTGTGGACATTAATAAAAGACTGTACTTGTACTAAATGTGTCTGAAGTTTGATAAAAAGGTAAAAATCTAAATCTGTGGACCGGTCGAGCTCAAGAAAAAGGCTGTTGCTTAACTCACCCTTTGCACTGGCTCTGGGGAACAACGTTGAGAAGTCTTTCCTGGGATAGCGAGGAAGGGTCTTGATATAGTTTTTGGCCTGTGTTCAAAGACACAAGAGAAATTAAATTAAGCATCAACAACTAAATTTGACCAGATATAATGCAAATCAAAGCATCAGCTCATACTGTATCTATTTAATTTTCCTCTCTGCTCATGGACTAGAAATGATTCAAATTACATGTATTTCCTCTGCCTACAGACAGACACACAGACAGACAGACAGACATAGCTTACAATAAACTAAATTATATTCTTCAAAATGATCCAATTGATTGTGTAAATGACAAATCAACTGCTTCAGTCTGCAAATGATACAGGTGTTTCTGTAAAATTCAATGAATCACTCAAGCATCTTCTTCTGCTAAAGTTTAAATATATTCTGTACCAATATCATTCTATGCTCTGCACGTTGCTAAAATGCAATAAATGAAACTGACAGGAGCACTGAACTTAAGTCTAGGTTAGCGATACAGTTTGAGATTGGTGCAAATTTCATAGCATTCCTTATGTGTTATTATAGTGTGATACTAATAGACAACATCATTTATAATTCAGTCATTGTTTCTGTTTTTTATATATAAAACAAAAACATTACTGAATAGGAAAATAACTTTGATAAAATGAATATTTCTATGATTTATTTCCATGTCTTTAAATCATTTTATTTCCCATCACTCCTTCCTGCTACATGCTTTTGTTGAAGCCCTGACTTTTCCTCTGGTGCCACCCTCAGGACAAAGTATACATTTTTACTCCAACTACTGGTAAAGCTTAGTGAAAGGAAAAATCTTGGATCCCAGTTACTGTAGTTTAATGATATACATATATATATATTTATGACATACACACACTATAGTTTGTCCTACCTCTTGGCTGTCCAGCTTCTGTGTGAACTCTGCTCCAGGTACTCCAGTCACTTTCATGATCTGAGTCAGCTGGTCCATGTCTGGTAAAGGTAACAATCAAGGATTGTTTTTTTTTTTACTTGGGAAGGCAAGTTCCACTTAGAAGCAGTAGAAAGTAGGGTTTCCATGCAGGTCCATAAAACTGAATAATAAAGGGAACTGAAAGCCACAAGTGACAGCTGTATTTGCTAGTCGATGCTATAAATCATTAAAGTGCCTGGAGTGCGAAAAAGGACATAAAAAGTCAATCTAAAACATGCAGAAAAATTATGTAATATAGTGCAGAAGTAGCTGCATTGGATGCTGCCTGAGAAACCGTGTTTTTGCTGCATGTAATACTGTATACTGTGATTGCCTTTTGTGTTCCATTCTGCACCTGATTTATAGTGCCCATCATGGAACTGGCTTGAATGGCATTTATTATTACATTAATGAAGAGATATTAAAGCTTGATGTGATGCCATTTAGGAATCATTCAGTACATTTACATTTATGTACACTAAAACAAGTCCAGTGAACACACAAGGCTGGTGAAAGGATACAATCTCTCCCTTTGAAAAGGGTTTTTCCGTTGATCATTTCTGCCATGATACAGCCCACAGACCAGATGTCCACTAGAATAAAAGAAGGACAAAAAACACGAGTGAGAACCCAAGCAGAAAACATGTCACAGTGTTTTAACTTAAGCTCAGTACAGTGCAAATGAGGAAGTTGGCATTTATATGCCAGAGCAAAGTTCCTTGTCCTTGGAGCAGAATCTATTGTGCTGTTTATATTGGAGAATACTTGGTGAGTGATACAATCCCACGGAGGGTGTAAACCTGCACCAGAGTTGCCTCCTGTGCTACAACCTATTCTGTAGCTGCTGTTTACAAAATGAAAAAAGCACCATCCCCTAAAGAAGCATAAATCCTGGGAAAGTCAGTTTGATTGCAGTGACTGCTCTGTCACGGAGTCTCAGCACTATCAGGCTGCTGTCAGACCCATCTCTGTCAACTGCTAACAGATTAAAGAAAAAATAAATAAAATAAGATTCAGTCAACATGAAACCAATGAAACTTCAAATGCATTTCACGCACCAACGGCAGGATTATAAAAAACTGCTGACCCATAAAGTACCATACAAGCCACCGCTAAAGAAAGAAACCCCTGTAACTGGAGATGTTTGAACAGCTACAGCACCGACAGGCCAACTCAATACTAAGACAACAGCAAGGACAGAGGTAAGAAGTTGTAACAACAGCGCTTGTCTTGCCAGTCTGGGTGTAGTGCATCCAGTTCAGAATGACCTCAGGTGCCCGGTACCAACGGGTCACCACGTAGCCCGTCATCTCAGCATCAGTACTGCGAGCCAGCCCGAAGTCCAGGATCTGCATCGGCAGCAAAGAAAAGGAATCACAATCTGGAACATGAAGCCCGTACATGACAGACATCTGTAAAGCTAACTTGTTGTTTGATAAGGTTTTTCATATGCACGTTCAAATGTGTGTAAAAAAAAAAATCATCATCTTATCAAATTTGTTCAAACTGTCATTATTTCCTGACAGTAGTACATGAGACAGATGATCTGTGAAAGAATCAGGGTCCTCTGCCACCCTTTAGTTCTCCTAATGGCATTTGCAAGATTCTACCACGCCCGAAAGAAAACAACCAATCAGAGCCGAGGAGTCGATCACTGCTTTGTGAGTTCTCATCACACTGTCAAACTGAGCAGCGCTGATCCAATGAGAATCAACATTCTGCTACAGCACGTTCATTTTTGGCCTATTTTTGCCTATTTTTGGCCTCAAATTTTTTTAGAAACATATTTTACTGTAACTTTTAGCTGTAAAAGGAGATAGTTGGTGACCCGACTGCCATGTTGGAAACAGTCGAGCCAAAACCAAGCAAACTAGGCTTATTTGTCTCATGTACTCTTGTCAGGATATTGTGATAGTTTCAGCAAATACGAAAAAAAAAGTTGTTTTCATGAGAGTTACCAACTGCAGCTTTAAAGAACATATAGACTGATATTGGCCATATTGGTTCCAATGTTTAAGATCATGCATCAATAGCAATATCTTAAAACATGTTTCTTGACATTAGTATCAGAATCATCTGTCTATTTTTCTAATCTACTATTTGATCACTTTGTAACTGCTGAATCCAATTATTCATCATTTCAGGTTAGCCATGTTCTCCAGTGTAATGCTTGGAAGTACAAACCTTCAGTTCACAGTCTTGGTTTACAGCCAAGTTTCCAGGCTTAAGATCCTGTAAAAAGAAAATGAGCTGAGTGGAGGATACTTATTGCACATCGTGTTTAACGGCAAATTAACTTGCTTGTACTGCGTAGCATCAAAACTGGGACCGGGAGGAGCCTTTAGTGCTCGTAGTTCCTGTAGTTTAAAATGGCTCAATGCCTGAATACCGTAGGATTTTAAACAGGGATTCAAACGGTGAGACTCAACTGTAAGCTGATCATAACACTCACTGCAGCATTTCTGCAGAGTCACTCATAAAATACCGTGACATAATGTGTGATAAGTGTGGCACTGATAGTGAGTGTTGATAACACCTTGACTGTGCAGGAATTACAAGAGTACTAGCAGGCTAACACTGACTGAATCATGTGCATGATCATATTTTCTAAACGCACAGTTCGCTGAGCTCAAACACATGTTCGCAGCTCATCCACAACACACTAATGCCTTTGGTAATAATAAGCATAATCAATAAATATGTTATGATCAAAACATATATCAAAACAAATCTTCATAACAGAGTGAACATTAGTGTGTTTCTACTTGTAAATCTACTACTTCCCTGCAAGGAAAACTAGAAAATTAGTACTTTGTCTTCGGACAACACCAAGAATTTAAAAGACCATTTTAGCGTTTGGACGTACAAGTATTAAGAAGCCACTTATATCTACCGCATATGTAAGTGCTGTATTGATCTAACCCTACTTTCCCTAGACAACACACACACACACACACACACACACACACACACACACACACACACACACACACACACACACACACACACACACACACACACTTGGCACTAGTGAAGTCGGGTGTGGCCGAACATCTCTAGACTTGCAGTAATACATCAGAGAGTCAACTCATCCTACCTGTTGGGGCAGGGTTCGATCTGACTCAATAACAATGACGAAATAAATCAACATTCCCATGGATATCTTTAGCACAGGAAATGGTGCGTAAAAGATAAAGTACAACACAAATCACTGCATGCATTACAATTTCTTAATACTAGCCTTTATCATAGACCAAAACCGTTTCTCAGGATTTGTTTTTAATACCTAATCTTAAATATCTACATTGACATGTGACCTGTGCTTACCCTGTGGATGATTCCAGCCTTGTGAATGTACTGCAGAAAGGGAGAGACGGAGCAGGAAGCAGACGCTGTTATTGCAGCAACATCCAAAATGCATGGTATATGGCATGTACAGTATATATGGTATTTTGTGTCTCTTTAATATGCCTGTTTACATGATAGTTTTATTAGTTTGCACTATTTGTTAACCTGACAAATGTTTAGTATAGTTGAATATAGTATAATGTATATCATACTATATATATATAGTATACACTATATAGCTTATCATAGTGCATTACTTTGTCTGTTTTCAAATAGTTTTTAGTACCTCTCTATTCTATAATTGTGTATATTTGTGTTATATTGACCCATTTAAGATACAAAAAGGTTGACTCTCCACTGCGTCCTTCATTGTATGTATAAGTGTAAGTGCAGACAATTCTCTGAACTTATTGTAGCATATGTTAAAATACAGTATAAATCTGGCATGACTGTGCTGCATGATAACTTTGGAACGCATTCAGTGAGGTTTTGATGAGTCACAAAAATGTTTGACTAATCTTCTCGTGATGCGTCACGATAACATTGTGCGTTTCTGAAAAAGGTCGGCTCACCCTGAGTCCACAGAGCATCTGGTAGACGAGAAACTGGACTTTGTCTTCTGTGAGGTGACCTCGCACCTTCGACAGGTCAGTAAACATGTAAGGCATCACCAGGTAGCTGAGCAAAAGAGAGGGAGAGGGGCAAGAGATGGACAGTATGATTCCCTATATTTAACAGACCAAACACTACACAAGCTTTATTCAGACCAGATCACAAAGAATGCTTCAGAAAAAGCTTTACCTTTGCTGTGTGCTGGTATTTTCTACACCCTGTTAATGTTGTAATCCAGGCCTTTTTACACTTTGATCAAGGAGCTTAGGATGCTTGTGTATGTTTACCTAACACTTACGTTCATACAACCTTCAATATACTCTTCCTCTTTGCAGTATCCTCCTAATTTGCTCTGGCAAAAGTCGAAGTTAAATGTATTGATTTTACCAGCACACTAAACTTAGTCTTTTAAATAAATCAATCTAAAAGTATTCTGTCTTTTGCTTCATACATCTCCACATGTCCAAAGCCCATATCTATCACGAAAAGAGGCATTGCCGTCTCTGCCTGAGGGCTCTGCTAACATGGCGAAGAATACTCACAAGTCCTGGATGTCATCGAGGCTTAAGGCAGATGAAAACACATCGAGAAGTCCTATCACCTGGTTGGAATGAAAAAGAGAGGTGACGAATACAGAGATGCGGGAGCAGACGTGAGGAGCTCAAGTATTTCCAGGATATGCTAATGCTAATGCTATTTAAAGTGGCAATCTCACACTCTAATCACAATCACAACATATTAATCTATCTGCTTTCCCCATGTATTGTTGTCCATGTATACATGTGTTATTTTTTACATTATATTTATATCTTTTTCACGCATAGCAACACGTAACATTACTATTGTTTAGGAGGTTGTGGCAAACCAGGGAAAAAAGACATGCAGATCCAGCACAGGGGGACAGATCCCCAAGCTCAGTTTGGGGGAGGTGATAGAGGGAGCGTTCTCTCAGGTTCAAGTTCTGCAGCCACTAAGCACATGGCATTAGACACACCTGCAGACTATCAGGTAATCAGAGCAGGCATGAGCTCGCCTGGCTCCTAAGCGGCAGACAGGCTGGGGAGTAGACCAGGAGGATCTCCTGTACCACTGGAGACAAGCGGCGCCGAATAGGAGGTAATCAAAAAGACTCATATATATCTCTCTCTCTGCTCGACCCACACAGGACAGTGGAACTGCCTTGGCTGACGACCAAAGGCCAAAGACCCCAAACGGGAGGAATCTTTAGTTAGGATATGACCCCATCCCCTTTACCCCAACCTCTTTATTAAAGGACACTTTTCTTTCATACCAACTGCCTCTGAGTCCCCTGTTTTATTGTGAATCTTGCCTCCACGTCCCCCGGGTTGTCACAAGGTGTATAAACCAATATACCCCTTACAAACACAAGCACACACTCATGCACTTGAGAGAACACACACACACACACAGACAAACAAAAACACACACACACACACACACACACACACACACACACACACACACACACACACAGGTTACACCCCGGACAGGTCGACACAGGCTATCACAGGGCTTATGCAAATAAACTTAAAACTTAAAACGAAGGGCTGAAATCTTAAGGATTGCCACTTGAAAGGCCAAAAAAAAACTAACACAAGTCAAATCTACATTCTTTTAAAGGAAAAAAGAGCAGTGTCAGGTTTAATCTTCTCACGTTTTCATGCTTCATGTGTTTGAGCAGTCGGAGCTCTCTGTAGGCCCTCTTAGCGAAGATCTCTGACTGGAAGGGCCTGTGGAGCTTCTTGATGGCCACTTTTTCTTTAGTCTTCTCATTTATTGCTGAGCTGTGATGAATAATGGAAAAACAAGTCATTAGCTTTGCACTCTGAGTCTGCGTGCGCCTTCTAGCATCACTATGATTTCACTCTTTTGAAGTCAGAGGAGCAGCGAGAAAGTGACAGGACGGTCTATTTTGAGGTTTCACTCTCGCAAAGGAGGCAAATTAATTCCTGTAATGGCAGAGACGTTCTGAGATGGTGGTCTGGATTCTCAAACAGTGTGGGGGGTCTGTGGTTTATTGAGAATGAATATGTAAATGTTTGGCAACTGGTGATGTGCACAGTATGTCTGCAGTGATCTGCAGGGCACCAAATCGTAGGAGGACAGGCTTGTTAGGCTATTTGGAGCCACATCCACCAACACACATTACACACAACACTTGTGCATAGTGCTCTGGACAACGCCGACGCACTAATGTAGGATATTAATGTTAAATTAACACGCAGCAGCTGATCCATGCCAGACAAGCATCCGACGTAAATACAGTACATCTTACACGTACAGCAGTTATGAAACGGCTATATTTCTGTTGAATAATCTGTTCTTTTCCCGTGTTTGCAATTGCCACTAGACAATTTATGAGAGACGTGCAATTTGGCAAAATTACAGATAATGGTGGTGACTTGATCCAAGTTCATCAGATGGTGCTTCTTTTAAAGTTCAGACATTTTAAGCTTTCACAGATCATCACACCCACACTGATGCTTAAAACCCTGGTAACAGTAACTGGCACAATATCTGCAGCTTTGACAACCAAAGTCCACTATGATGGTGGAAGTGCAGGCTTCGAACCAACGAGTTGAACTACGTATAATGTAGGGAGATTACATTTCTGGACATTTTTGAGTTTGAATGGCGGCTGGTCAAAAATGTCTCAGGTCAGTGGCGGCTGCTGGGGGAACTTGGACTCATTCATAACCAGTATTTAAGTTAAAGAATTCTAGCAACGGCCCAGAGTGTAGATTATGAATCCAATTGTCTTTTTATAATCTTGTATGGAACTTGACAGCAGCCTTGTGTCTATCGCTATAGATCACTAATAAATCACAATATAGATAAAATCACAAATATAGTGTATCACCAAACTGCAGCATTAGTTGACATGAACACTAAACACTGGATAAATAATATGGTACCTGTAAATCAATAAGGTTAAGTGATGCTGGGCATTGGAAACATCTGCTTTTCCCTAATGGCTTGACGCCTAACCTGTATTCATGTGTAAGCCTAACGTTTAATTGAATTTCTGTGCTATGTATTTTACTACATGTAAATAAACAACACACAATGTATATATACGTACACATGGATGTGCATAGGTGTTAGGCAACATGCGTGTCATCCGTTTCTCCCACAGTGTATTCCTGTACCTTGTATGTAACTGCATGAAGAAATGAAAGTGGCCATCTTTAATATTGACGTCCTAAAATTGCAACTGTTATTGAACAGACAAATGCACATAAGTTTGAAAGGTACGTGTCACGCGCGATGTAGTCGCTGCGCTGTTAACACGCGCAGCTAGGATGCGCTACAAAGTGTCAGGTGTTATAACGTTATAACGTTACAAACGCTGTCGTGTTGACAGTGTCGGTGTAACGTTACACTACACGATATTTACCACCCGGGCCCAACACAGGCTGCATGCAGCCTGTGAGGCTAACGCACATGAATGCTGGGCTCAGACTAAAACAGTTCTCGTGCACAGTCCAGTCCCAACTACGACACACATACGGAGTAAGGTAAACGACACTCACCACACCGAGCCGTACGCCCCGGTCCCTATTTGTTTAAGCCGTGTGTATTTCTCCGGGACCTCCCACACCGTGCTGTTGATTTCCTCGCGGTAGAAATGTGCCCGAGCCTCCATAATGAAGAGGAGACGGCGAAGCTTGGAAAAAAAAAAGTTCTCCTCCCTCCACTTGTAAATCTGTCACTTGTTCAGAAGGTAAAGCTAAACACTGCTCAAAGCACGAGACAAGACAACTTACCCTACAGCTTATTTCCGCCAGAGGTTTTCAAAATAATGTCCATTACGCGTTAGCCGCGTGGGAGTAACCCAAGTAAACTACTGTTGGACACAAACGGCTGGCTAACATGCTGCGACAAAACCCACGAAAATCAAGTAATATGCATCCTGTAGAAACGGATTGTACTCATCTCTTATAACTAGGTATGATTATATTTGATTTTGTTTTGTCAGTTCTTGCCTTCATTGATGTGAATTAATAATCAATACATGCTATACAAACGGCGTTTAAAGGAAAATGATCGAGGCAAATGTATTGTGGAAACACGGCATTTAGTTTTTGATATTGTTTGTCTTTCTTGTTTAAAAAAATTCTCATTAGATTTTTCCATTGAAAATAAACTTTATTTTGAAGGCAAATCGTTGAACTTCCTGTCTAAACTTGACAGTTTATGGTTGCCTTGATTCGGCAACACGGTACAAGTCTGTCAGTACACTACACTCACTGCATTACAGTAGACAACAGCCTGGAGGACTAACATGTTGCCTCATGTTGTCTTCCCTTTGCGCAAAAACACATTTTCCCATTTGTGAAAATCAGACGGCTTGCTTGCAGAAACATGACTCGATTCGCTCCCACCCACACACAGTCGGTGTTACTTGACATGAATAATTACTGTACATTGGCAGAAGTTTATGAATCATGGCAGCTTACAGCAGGACATTCACACTTACTGACATGGATGAAGACATGTGAACTGAGGCCTGAGATTTTGACTTTGCACACAAATTTACTTAGGTTTCTAACCAATTAATAAATTATCCATAGTTATGAACAATTGTTTTTCAATAACAACCCCTCACATAATTAGACTGTTTTTACTGTAGTGATATGAATGCACTTAGTTTTTTTTTTAAAGAAGGATGTTTTTCCTCTAACAATTGTTTACAATAGCTGTTCCCCCTGAAAGCCTGAAAAGCCAGAAAATCATCACTGAAATCTACACAAGTCATCAAGATACATGACCTGGAGCTGCTCCGTTGGCAGTCAAAACAGAACTGACCGTGTGAATTTAATGTCGGTATGTTTTTTTCATCTTAATGGTATCCAGATTCAGTCAGTTCTCAGTAATCAGAACTGTATTCTCACGAATTTCAACAGAATTTCAGTTTGTTTGTTTTTGTTGTTGCTATTATGTAAAGTTCTCCATAAACTTAATGTTATTTGGACTAAACCTCATTTGTGTAGGTGGTCTTAAACTTCCAAATCTTTGATTGTTTTTTATGTATATATATATATATATATATATATATATATATATATATATATACAGTACATGTATAAACTGTGATTACTAATTAGAATTCTCCAGAATACACATATTTGGAATATGAAATATTTCATGTCCATTTGGAAGCAACGGGTTCTATGAATAGGAGGAAGTTGCGAGCTGAATATGTATTTCCTGCGTTTTAGAATCTTGTCAGTTCCATGTTTTCAGTTAGGTTGATAATTCATGTAAGAAGAACACAAAAGTGCGAAGATGGGGCATATAAAATAATTAAAAATTCTTACACAGCCAAAAAAAAGATCTACAATCTAAAATGTATAATATTCAGAGGCATTCATCTATAATGTCTATAATTTCAGTCAAGGCAGCTCTCATATTTTGGGGGCAGCCTTTAAAGTAGAAAGGGATGAGGTGACTGTTTTAAAGTGTGCAATATGTAAGATTTTTACTGCAGGATGGCACAAAATGACCATAATATATCTGCAGGGGTTGAAAGGATTATGGATCAATACCAATGACTCAGCTATTACTTGGCCAGCTGCTGAACTCTCTGGCTTTTAAAAGCCCTCTTTCCATCGTGTACGCTGTTCTGGAGAGAAAACATCCTACCTACTGGTGTTTAAAGACCTAATCTAAACCGGCCTCTGTTTAGTCAAGTGATTAGCAAAGTAAACTAAAAGGAGGTTGAAAACGTAGCATCCATGTGACTAAAACAGTCCCCCCCCCCCCCCCTTCCCTCATTTCTCGCATAGATATGCCTGAAGGTTGACCGCATATGCGCTCACGATTTTAGCAGCACTCATACAAAAGCGTGTGCGTCAGTAAAATCATGGTAACAGGAGCTCTGCAGAACTTTTCCACGTTCACACTTTGCTCTTGGACTTGACCCAAGTTGATCCGCTGCCAAACCCAAACCCTGACAGCAGAACTCTCGGAGATCAGAAGCCTGGGAAAGCATCAGGAGAACGAACGTTGTTGAAGAACTAAAGCCAGTGGTGCCCCCAGGATTAGGGGTGGCCAGATAGGGCCACAGAAAATCTTGTTGTGGCCCACCAAAACCAAAAGCCATAACTGAATTTCAGGAATTTGATCACGCTGTTGTATTATATAGGATAGTAGATAACTATGTCGATATGAAAGTGAAGGAATCACATGCCCAAGCCAGGCCTATATCTTCTACATCAAGAGGCTAGACTTTCTCTCTGTAACATTTAGGCCTTTCCATCTTGCAGGGCTGGCGATGCCCTCTATATATTAATATATGATACAACCGTAAAACCATATTTAACCATCTGCTTCCTGTGGCAGTAGATTTGGTAAACTCCTCACGCACACAGAAGAAGCTGTCATCACTCGCCCACCTCTATAAAATTAACACCGTCAAGAAAGAGACGTTGACTGTTCAGGATGAATGAGAAATAAAATGAACAGGAAAAAGGTTTAACTCGGTTTTGGAAAAAGACCTTGAAGCCTTACATCTAGCAGAAAATGTTTTATGTAAACAATAAAATGTATTCATGAAAAAAAAGTAGTTAAATATTTCCTCATTTTATTTAACAGCATTCTAATTTTCATACACTATAATTATGCCAACATCTGTCACTGCATGACATCTTAAATTATGAGGTTTTAGTATGTTTTCATTTGACTCTTTATTACTTTTACTTAAGGCATTACCTTTTTACAGTGCTATTTGGAATATTATTATATAGTATACACAAAACATTGATGTCAAGCTAATACAGTGATACGGATCATTGCATTAACCTTCTCACCTACTTATATGTATAAATACAGTATTTTGCCTACCCTCTGTTTTTCCACCCCCCTTGCTTTTACTTTTCAGTACTGAGACTTCTCTGTGCTCGACCAACGGCCGTCCTGAGACCTTTCCCTGTCTCTCTCCCCTGGCTGTCGGTACCTTATTCAAGATCCAGACATGTTGGATCTGGATCTTCATCCTCCAGGATATTCAGCTTTTCCTCCTGTCTCTTCTCTCTTCTGTGTGAATTGTGTCCTTGACATTTTCTGGAATATAGATAACAATTAGTGTCATTTGTCAAGGATATCGGCTCTGTATGCAATATGTTACCGGTTGCTTCAACTCCTTTAGAAACAACTCTATTCTGTAGCTTTCCATGATGCCAGCCAGATAGCATTACAAAAGCATTACATGTGAAGACATCCAGTATGTTGTAAAATACAAGAAGTGGGGCCATTGTAAGGTCTTTCTCAGAAAGCTGTAGAATGATAGCAGCTTGGCTAAATTACACCTCTTTCTGTACCTTTATGATTTAGTATGATAACACAGCACTCTTAGAGAAAAAGTCAGGGGATTGACCAAATTTTGTACCAAATTTCAAGGTACAGCATTTAAGAACTTTCAGTCCAGACTAAAGTGGTTGATAGACAGAAAAAGACCAGCAATGCTACTAACTGTTAACTATACATCCATCCATCTATCTATCCATTTTCTAGACCGTCTATTCTATGCAGGGTCACAGGAACTGGAGCTTCTGACACACACAACGTGAAGGGGACCGGGTGCAAATATAAGGTGACAGGGCAAATACACACAGACATATCTTTAGACTTTACAGTAGGCCTTGCAGTCTCAAGCAGATCTCAGGTCCGAACCCAAGACCTTTTTGCTGTAACCACTGAGCCATAGTGCAGTACAGTACAGCTACAGTAATTTAAAAATCAATAAACCTCAGAGGCTTTTCAGTTCATAAAACACATTAAAGCCCACAAGTGTAACCTTCTTGCTTGAGGTTTATGATGGGCTCCGTCCTGTTGAGTAACATTTAAAAAAATAATCCACTAATGGCTGCAGCCAATGATCTTCAAAGGACAATTTAGCACCTGGCACAGGCTGAAATGTATACTCTAACTGTAAAAGGAACCAAATGAGTTAAAAGTTTCCTTCATCTTGTCATTCACCTTGACCAAAAGCTATAGAGCTTAAAGTATATATTGTGTCCCTATGATCTCCTCTGGAGGATTTATGCATTTGATTTATTGAATCCACTCTACCGCTGACCATTGATGCACATTCCGGGCGTGTCTGGATACTTCATTGTTCTATGTAATCGTAATGACTTTACATGCTATACCTGCGGGCTAATACATCCAAAATTGAGAAATGCAATTTGACAGACATCTGCGGCCTGTCTGCTGTTGCCAATATTGATCATAAATCCATTTGCTCTTTGCCAGTTATTTGCATTTTGTCAATCTTCCTGGGTCATTTCCGAAAATAGTTTTCATCAACTGCTTGAAGAGAGCCTCCGTCCCTCTGTCTGGGTAAATGTCAGCGAAATGCCAAATTTCTGAAATATTTTTGGAGTCTTTGAGACACCAAAAACAAAGGTTTTTGATTCACTTCCAGTGAGCGAATTACATCCGCGTCTGGCAGGAAAGTTAGAGGTTGTCTACAGAGCAAAGAAATAACCCAGCATTTTGTCACATAAGACTTGTTTAAATGGAGACAATTTACTTTCCGAGGAACATAATAGTTCAGCCTATAATTCAATGACACACGTGCCATGTCTGAGCAAAATGGATTCAGTTAAATGAGGACATGCTAATGATCATCCAGACAGTGATTGAAGTAAACAGTTTACACTACATTACATGTATGTTATGTTTGAACAGTGAAATGATGATCCCATTTTCAGAAACACAGCATCACATATTCTTAAAGCCTGCTAAATATGCCGCATTGAGCTA